ACAGATAGACAGACATATACACAGATAGACAGACATATTTACAGATAGACAGACATATACACAGATAGACAGACATATACACAGATAGACAGATAGATAGACTTAAAGATAGACAGACAGATAGACAGACATATTTACAGATAGACAGACATATACACAGATAGACAGACATATTTACAGATAGACAGACATATACACAGATAGACAGACATATACACAGATAGACAGATAGATAGACTTAAAGATAGACAGACAGATAGACAGTCATATAGACAGATAGACAGACAGACATCAATACAGACAGACAGATAGACAGAGAGATAGACAGACGGAAAGATAAACAGACAGATAGACAGACGGAAAGATAGACAGACAGATAGACAGACATATAGACACATAGATAGACACACAGATAGACAGACAGATAGACACACAGATAGACAGACAGATAGACAGACATATAGACGGACAGAAAACAGACAGATGGAAGACAGATACACAGATAGATAGACAGACAGATAAACAATTAGATAGAGAGACAGATAGACAGACAGATAGACAGACAGACAGATAGACAGACCGACAGACAGACAGATTGACAGACATATAGACAGAAAGATAGACAGACAGATTGACAGACAGATAGATAAACAGATAGACAGACAGATAGACAGACAGATAGACAGAAAGACAGATAGACAGACAGATAGATAGACATATAGAAAGACAGATAGATACACAGATACACAGACGGATAGACAGATAGACAGACAGAAATACAGACATATAGAGAGACAGATAGACAGACAGAAAGTCAGATAGACAGATAGACAGATAGAAAGTGTAGTATTCTCGCACTACTAAACTTATGCAATAAATTGGCAAACTTAAATTGGCACTTTGATGAGATTTTACTTCAAGTCATCTTACTTGTTTTATCAATCATCTGTGCAACCTGATGACATTGCAGATTGGGTTATTCCTATCACTCGGGCCTAACCCTCATGCGCCGTCAATATCTTTGCAACCTGGCATTACAATACTTCAGCTATCTCCAACATACAGAGTAAGCCTTATATAATTGTATGCACGTGCAATTATTAACACCCAAAGTAATAAAGTCATTCTTACGACATATTTACATTTATTTACAACATATGTAAAAATGCATATATCACATTACATAAAGATATTTACTGGTACAATTATTAGCTTTGATCCCTTTCTATTCCTAAGGTCTCTCAGCTTGACGTTTAAGCACTTTCTCAGTTAGGTTACCAAGTCTGAAGTGCTGATATAGCTTTCAGTCCGTCTATCAACTTTATATCTTTATTATTACAGGTATGCTGGTCAACCCGCTCCTGCATAATCCGGAGCAGATTCCAAACCTGATTAGACAGCCTGTCTCTGACCTCTTTCATAGTTGGGCCAGGATACAGCCTGTACTCTTGTTCCCAAGTCTTCCCTGTGTCCCAAACATCAACTTGTGGGACATCAGCAGATTGAAGGGAGTTAACGTCCTCAGGAATGGAGGACAGGAGATCCATAATCTCCCTCTGGAGTTCCCTGACTTCGGTCTCAAGCTTCTCTGACTTCTCCAGGATATCTTGCATCTCCTCATCCTCATCAATATCCTCTCCTAGATCCTCCACTACGTTCTCATCCTCCGAGGTCGGAACGGTGACAACGGGAGCATTCCCACTGACAAGAGGAGCAAGATTTGTAGGATCCACTTCATCTACATCTAAAGCAGCTTCCTTGATGTAAGCTGGGTTCATCTCTTCCAAGTATAGCTCGTCCAAAAAGGTTCCCTCTGTATGCTGTCTGTGCGCTGTATATAGCACAGGTCCCGAAGCGGTAATGTGCAGGAGACTTGTGTCTACTCTGCTACAGCTCGGGATGTACTGGCTCCTGGCATCCCGTTGAATTCAAGGGACTGTTCACTCATATTAGAACAATCCGAAATACAACAAAAGACAGATAGACAGAGAGATAGACAGACAGATAGACACACAAATAGACAGACAGATAGAAAGACAGATAGACAGACAGACAGATACAGAGACGGATAGACAAACAAATAGACAGACAGATAGACAGACAGACAGATAGACAGAATGACAGATAGACAGAATGACAGATAGACAAACAGATAGATAGACAGATAGAAAAACAGATAGATAGACAGATACACAGACGGATAGACAGATAGACAGACAGATATACAGACATATAGACAGACAGAAAGACAGATAGATAGACAGACAGATAGACAGAAAGACAAATAGCTTGACAGGCTGACAGATAGACGGATAGATAGACAGATAGAAAGACAGATAAATAGACAGATGCACAGACAGACAGACAGATAGAAAGACAGATAGACAGTTAGATAGACAGACAGATGGACAGACAGATAGACAGACAGATAGACAGAAAGACAGACAGCTAGACAGGCTGACAGATAGACAGACAGATAGATAGACAGTTAGAAAGACAGATAGATAGACAGATAGAAAGACATACAGAAAGACAGATAAAAGACAGATAGATAGACAGATAGAAAGACAGATAGATAGACAGATAGAAAGACAGATAGATACACAGATACACAGATGGATAGACAGATAGACAGACAGATAGACAGACAGATATACAGACAGATATACAGACAGATAGACAGACGATAGACAGACAGATATACAGACAGAAAGACAGACAGATAGACAGACAGATAGACAAACAAATAGACAGACAGATAGACAGACAGATAGACAGAAAGATAGACAGACAGATAGACAGACAGATAGAAAGACAGATAGACATACAGATCGAAAGACAGATAGAGAATCAGATAGATAGATAGATAGATAGATAGATAGACAGACAGACAGATATACAGACAGATAGACAGACAGATAGACAGACAGATAGACAGACATATAGACAGACAGATAGACAGACATATAGACAGACAGATAGACAGACACATAGACAGATATACAGTACAGACTATATGTCTGTCTATCTGTATATCTGTTTGTCTATCTGTCTGTCTATCTGTCTGTATATGGACACCTGTTAAGAACTTCTGCACCCCCTCCCCCCCCCACCCCACAAGGGGAGCAAGCCATCTTAATCAGGCTAGGGGGGGGGCCTAGCCCACATTTTCTTGGTGGCGCCACTCATTTAGTTCATTCTTCCACATTTTTTGGCACCTAAAAAAAACTTAAATCCTGTATCTGCCCCTGTTGACATTTAATCCTTTTTGTTTTTAGAATTTCCTACTATTTCTCATGTAGAGGAAATTGGGAAACTGTAGCTAGCTCAAATTTTTCAAATTTGATCATTGATAAATTTTGTAGTATTATTTATCCCTTTACACAGCTAGGTGGGAATATGAAACATATTGATTTACAATTTTTAATAATAAAGTAAAACAATGTAAAAATGTTTACTAATGGCGGAAACACAACTATTAATGTTTCCTTTCAGTAATTGCATGAACACCATGATGGAACCTAGTGCAGCAAATATTCAAGTAAAGACAAAGATATAATTCAAAACAACCCCTGATCCAAAGTATTCAAAAATATTTATTGTTGAGAAGGAAGATAGAGACATTTTAAATAATGTTAAGTACTTTCACAAAGCCTTTTTGTCCAAGCAGAAACTTCCCAAGGGTATTTTCCCAAGTGGAAACTTCCCAAATGTGCAATTCCCAAAGTTGAAACTTCCTAAATGTGCAATTCCCCAAGTGGAAACTTCCTAAATGTGCATTTCCCCAAGTGAAAACTTCCCAAATGTGCAATTCCCCAAGTGGAAACTTCCCAAATGTGCAATTCCACAAGTGGAAACTTCCCAGGTCTGTCCTAGCCGCAGCGCTCAGCCCCCTAGCCTGCTTTAGCCGCAGCACTTGTCCCTGATGAAGCCTGCGGTCATTGAAGGCCTAACCAAAGATTTGGGAAACTGGCACTAGGGAAATAAAATATTTGGGATGTTGCAATTGGGGAAATTGTCAATTTGAAATTTGCCCTTAGAAAATGCCTTTCAAAACCATTAAGTTTTATATTTTTCATCCCTCTATCCGTCAAAACCAAGCATATAATTCTTGGTACATCTCTCCAACTCTAAGCAGTATAGACTAGGGAACCTGGTTAAAAGTTTAGTGAGTCTAAATTCTAGGACCTGGTTTCACCATTTTAATATAGATTTTTCATGTTCTTTGTTGGGATAAGTATTTTGAATATTTTAGCATTATGTCTTTTTTGCTATTTTGATGCATTTTGAACAAAGTTTAATATTTGACTGAAAATATTCCAATACAGACAGGATTAGGGTTTCCAGGAAAAGAAAACTTCTGTGGTAACAAAAAAAAAATTTTGTTTTCATTTTGAAATTTTCTTTACAGTTTTTCGCGTAATTGAATGAAATTTTGCAAAAAATATTTTCGGGAAAAAAATCATTACAGTTTTTTGTGCAAAAAAAAAACTTGGAATTCTCTGCTCTGAGAGCTCAGCATCAGAAGATTTATGATTTCATAATTTTAAATTCTCGCGTAGCAATTTCCCCTTTTTACTAGAAACCCTTCGACAGGCTACACTTCTATCTAGTTAAAGTTTTTCCTTTAGTGTAAACATGATTTAGTTACTCATTATTTCCTTCAATATCCCTCCCCTAAATTCTTGAAATTATTATTCCACTGCATATGGTAAATTGTAGGTCCTGGTTAAAAGTACAAGTTTTCATCTTTGCTATTTCAAACCATTTTGTATTTGGAAAATTTTAGTAAATAAAGTCTCTTGGGATATTTTTGATGGAATTTTAACAAAAGCTTAAAATATGACTGAGAATATTCTGATCAGGCAACTTTGCTGAATTTTGTTTTGTGTGTGCAGCATACACATGATTTGGTTGATTCTGGATATTCCCTAGGTTAAGGTTGGAAATTTCTTCAACACACCTTGCAAACCCTGGAGCAAGATTATTACGTGCCTGGAGTATTCAGGATTCATCTATGGAACCCCGTGGATTGGAAGAATTCTGGCTGTTCTCATTAGTGCTCTACATTTAGGAAAATGAATCTAAAAGAATAAAATATATGAATAATAATGATAGTATTGATATCAATTTATTTCTAAAGTTTGAACATATGAATCAATGTTGATGTGATAAGGGCTGGGCTCTGCACAGTTGTAGAGTTTCCCGTGGAATGGAAAAATTTTGCAGAATTGCAAATTGTGCAGAATTTTGAGGAATTTTGGTGTGCAATCTAATATGTAATTGCACGAAAATATTTGCAGCAATGGCAATTTTTCTTTATCAAAAAATTTGTAGAAGAGATTTGCACAATATAGTAAAAAAAATGTGTAAAATTTTTCACCAGTGTGTTTTATGGAATTATTACTTCGGTTTTTCTTAACCCCTCCCCCCCCCAGAAAAAAAGTTCCAGATCTTCCAATTTTTGCACAAAAGTTAAAAAGAAACAGTAGGCATCGGGTTTATTCTTGATGTTTTGAAATCATTAGAACAATGTGGTGGTTAACTTAAACTTTTTATTCATTAAAGTTCTAAGGGTGTACTTGTGTATTTATTTGGATGCGAATGAGAAATAACACTAAGACGAGAGATGTAATAAATTCAGCTGTCTTTTTTGTTTATGAAATTCTATCTGTAACCATGAGTTTTCTGCTGGGTTACTCAAAGGAGAATGCTACAGAATGTTACAAAGGAAGCCAGACTCCTGGAAAACCCTTGATTCTAGTTGTATTCTTTTTAGTGTGTCTGGGATTTGTAGGATTAACGGTAATAAAATAAACTTTAGCATTTGAAAGTACTTAAGCATTTCAAAATTAGCCATAAGACTTTTAGTTTTATTTTCTTAAACTATGACAATTGATTCATAATATATGAATATTGAATAACTTTGCTTCTCTAATATTTTGCATAATGAAGAAAAAGCAGAGAGAAATTATAAAAGAAAACTGAAATAATGAATACTATTTGATAACCATTTAGGTAGAACCTTTGTTTGAGGGAAGATTAAAAATCATCCTCATACTTTGGACAGTAATTCAAGTATGTCTTACCTCAAAATCACTTGTTGGTTTGGTATTGTTTGGAACTGTAGTCACTGGATTTATATCAAAGATGGAGAACTTAGAGTTCAATCCTGAAAATACTCTCATGATTGGCCAGAAGCGTTTGGAGATGTTTCGTAAACTTAAAACTGGTTTTGGACCATATTTGTTTGCTCTGTTTTCAGTTCATACCCTGGCTCTGGTTGCTATAGTATTTTTGGCTGTTGACTTCTTGAAGGAAGGAGTTGATACTCAGGTCTTAATTGGGTTCACACTCATCACCTTCTTTACTGGATTGCCATTGTTGTACACAGTCCTATTGGCCAAAAGTGCACATTCAAAGTTCCAGAATATCTTACCAGTTCTGAGGTACTTTATTATAAACAAGGATAAATAAATACAGAAATGACTTAACTGATGCCCTAACTGCTGGTGTTAGGTACTTTCCCTAAGGCATTTTCCTTAGAGCGACTTCCCAAGTGGAAATTTCCCAAATGTGCAATTTCCCAAGACGCAACTTCCCAAAGATTAAGTTATGCCCTCTGAGGCACCACAGGCTACAATGGGGGCTAAGCAACGCGGCTAGGTTGGGCTAGGGGGCTAAGCTCTGCAGTTAGAACAGGCTGGGGTCCAAGTGCTGAGGCTGTGACAGACTTGGGAGGTTGCCGCTTGGGAAATTGCACAATTGGGAAGTTGCCACTTGGCCTTGGGAAAAATCCTTTGGGGAAGTACCTTACATCTAACTGCCCTAGTGAAAATAATTGAAAATATACAAGATCTTCAAGAGTTCTCCATTAGCTAGATTTAATTAGTCGGGTATATATCAACTGCAAAACTTTCTTTTTGAAATAATTAACTCATAGTGATCAGCTAATTTTGTGATTAGTTTCATTATTTGATTTCAAATACTGTTTTCTGTTTGGCGAACAAAATTCAAATTTAAAAGTCAAATAGTCTTTTATAGAAATAAGATAGAGTTGTATATCTTTGTTCCTTTTATTCCTTCTCTTAATTCAAAATTGTTCCTTTCTCAAAATCATTTAAATACAAAATTGATTTTTTTATTTATCACTCTAATGAACAATTAAGAAAATTAGTGACTGATAACTACAGTCTTAATGTTTTGGGGCAATTTTTTATCATTGAAAGTTAGATTATAGTAAACAGGTTAAAATTTCCTTTAAAACAAATATAATTATTCATAAACTCCTTGATTCCAATCAGAAATTTAGTCTTTATGTAAAATAGCGTTTTCCATCCTATATATATGGATGTTTTGAATTTTGTAATCTTTTCCTGCATGTGTGCAAGCGTTAACCTTTGATCACAAACTATGGCTAAGACCTCTTCTCTGGTACAAGAAAATTTAAACATAATATACCCCACAAATTCCTTAAATGTATTTAATTGCACTAACCAGTCTAGTGTACCCAATGTGAAGTAATGTAATCAAAGCAAGTTCTATGCCCAATATGTTGGCTCATTGGATCAATGAGTGCTCTGTACCTGTTCGTAAAATGTTATTACAGGACTGCATGCCGCATGGAGACAACTGAAGTTAAGATGGATTACTTACTCCTCATTCTGGAGATTCAACAAGAGGTTAGAACTAGATTTTATTCTAAAAGTTAGTAAATAGAGTTGTTAAACATTGAAATAGATTTGAAAGTGCTTGTGTTTTACTCTAGACATTCTGATTGTTTGTTAAACTCTTTTTTTATTCATTAATCATTTTTGGGTTGACACCCTCCTTGTAACCCAGTTACCCATTCACTTTAGAAAGACTTTTTCTTGAGGCCAGTTGCTTAAAACAAAATTCATCGTGAATTTCTTTAGGAAACATTTTCTGGGTGTGAATTCTTTCTGATTGAGAAGTCTACTTTGCTATCTGTACTTGGTACTATTGTGACATACTCAGTAGTACTTATTACGTCAGCATAGAGTACACTTTGCTTTATGTACTTGGTACTATTGTGACATACTCAGTAGTACTTATTACATCAGCATAGAGTACACTTTGCTTTATGTACTTGGTACTATTGTGACATACTCAGTAGTACTTATTACATCAGCATAGAGTACACTTTGCTATCTGTACTTGGTACTATTGTGACATACTCAGTAGTACTTATTACATCAGCATAGAGTACACTCTTTGCTATCTGTACTTGGTACTATTGTGACATAGTCAGAAGTGCTTATTACTTCAGCATAGAGTATACTTTGCTATCTGTACTTGGTACTATTGTGACATACTCAGTAGTACTTATTACTTGAGGAAAGTGTAAATGATGTTATCTGAATTATATGTTTCATTTATGTTACTATACGTATGTAATACTTTAAAATAATATACATTTATGTGCAAATTTAGCATTAAAAAAAGCAAACAAAAACCGAATTAAAGCTAGAAATCAGTAATAAAAGTTTAACAATATTTTATTTATCAATTGTAAATGTTTCGCGACCAAATCTGGCTGCTTTAAAATATTCTAAAGTATTAACCTAGTCATAATCTGGTCTGGGGTCTGATTGGAACTAGCACTAAGTCTACTACTAAAAACTCTTTTCCTCGAAATAACTGTGTTCTGATTAGCTCCAAACGGGTTTAATCTGTAAAAAGATTGCCTGATTAATTTTATTAATATGATAAGAAAACAATATGCAGGAAAATAATTAATATATATTATTTTAATTAATATATAATTAATATAATTAATACCTCAATGTATCAAACTTTCTGTATCAAAATATCAAGTTTAACTGATGAAAAATGGCGGACACAGTACAGATTTAAGGTAAAGTTTACAATACAAAACTGGTTTTGATTTGTTACTACAGACGCGGTCTCTCCTTCAACTTCAGGGGTTTCACATCTTCTAAGTGGAGAGTTCAGGGGCTGGGAATTTAGAACGAGATGAGTTCGTCGCGAAAAGTAAAATAATAAATTACTTATTACAAGAAGATTTATTTCAAAGATTTAAGAATTTTGTAAACCCTATCCAGGGACAAGATTAAATGAATTGGAGAGAAGTTGCTTAACTATACATCAGAGCTAGGGTTTCACCGGAATTCCAGGTCATGGTTTACATACGTAAATCTTTTGGAATTTTTCCCATTTCCATCAGGGAAAAGGTTCCGTAATTCCGGAATTACTTTTTTATCCATAACCCCTAAGTTTCAGGAACACTGATCTTACAGATCTTCAGGAAAGTTCTAGATGTTTGTTTGTTAAATTCCGCTTTATGGAAAAATCGGAATTTTCCAGGACAAGTTTCCAGGAAAACGTTGAAAACAACTTAAGCTCATGAGTAAGTGATACTAACTACAAAATATAAAGATTAATATGCGCCTGATTTAGCTGTGAATAATCATGAAATATAAATTCTGTCTGCCAGTGTGAATCATATTCATGTCTAAAAATAATTACATCTACAGAAAACGGTGGAAAAATAAGACGACATCTGTAGCAATCCTTCTATTTGATGTTGTTATAGTGCAATAAATAGTAACTTATAAAATAATTCTAAATTAAATTGGTCTGTATGCAGTATACCCTCTGTAAGTGCCGTGTCTCATGTTCATTAAAGTATTTAAAGTCATAACTTAAGTCTAAAAGTTGCCTATTCCACTCTATTTATGTACATTGCTTGTCCGTTTGTATACAATAAAGGTCAAAATTTATGCATAAAAATGTCGAAATTTATTATTTTTAATTCACCAAATCAAAGTCTAGTTTTTATAAAATCTTATTTATATAGCTCATTTCATATACAGAGGGGGAATGGGGGGGGGGGGAAATTCCTGAAAATGTAAATATTTATAAGTTCTTAAAAGAAGTAGAACCACTGAGTGGAAGCCTATGAATCTTATGAAAGACAACAAATTTTGAGTTTACTACACAAACTCACATTCCTATTATGAAGATTAGTTTCAAGAATAGACACTGGGAAATTTTTGTGTTTTATGTAACAAAACTCTGAAATTTTTACGGTTTACGGAATGGAAACTGGAATTTTTACGGTTTACGGAATACACTCTCAGTACAGCTGTATTCTTACCTTACAAGTGTCACCTCAGTTTTTGTTTCCGACAAAATTATTAATAATAGTGATAATTTTAGAATAAAGTGCTTATCTTACAGTGAAATAAGTGCAATTTTATGTGTGTTTTATATTTTCTGTTTTTATTTTTTTTTTACACAATCTTGGAAAAATGTCAAAATTTCATTTTCCTTGTTATATTTGACACTTGTGACGTCGTGTATTATTGGTCCATTTCTCTGTTGCCACCTAAGAGAATAAATAATATTCTATTCTCTTAGGTTGCCACCAATTGTACTTGATAATCTATTTGCCGTAAAAAGATAGATATAGATTGAGATATGGATAGATAAATAAATAAATAAAGTTAGATCAAATAGTTAAATATATAGATATGAGGCAGAACGTATATAGTTTGCGTAAATTGAGATATGATCAATTAACATTTGATATATATATAATTATTCATTTACATCCTACAATCTACATACAGTGGTAAGTAATTATATAAATACAATGAAGACGACTTTTAAAGTTAATTTTGATTGTTAACAAGCTTTTTTCGCATTACAAGTTTACAAGTAATCCAAGAGAAGCTTTTTAAAACAACCAACAAGAGGCCCTGGCTAAATTAAATTTAAAAATTGTGCAATTTAATCCTTCTCTTGATTTTTATGTTTATGTATATCTATGCTGATAAACAGCTTGATATAAATCAAAATTGTAATCTAAAGTCGTCTTCATTGTATTGATATAATCGCTTACCACTGTATATTAGGTTTACTGGTCACTTAATTAAAAAAAGAAAGGCATTCTGTGATCTCAAATAAAAAAATTATTTTAACACTTCCCCACTACTCTTATTTTCTGGAATTTTGGAATTTTGAATGAATATGTTTGAAAATGTGGCAATCTTTTAAACTTTTATGTAAAAATTTCCGCTACGGTGTACTCTTTAAAGAACTTAAGTCTAAAAACTAGTGAGCGATCTCTTTATCAAAATCTAGGATTTATATTATATCAAATATTTGATATTTCAGATTTAATCCTGATTTCCAAATAGTTAAAAACAAAACATTTCAAAAAATAAGATAAATACGTTCCATTGAGGATTCTGAGTATTAGAGATAAGTTATTGTTGAAGGGAAGTGAGTGCTTAAAGATTTAGTAGAAAAATGTAAAATTAGAAAATATAGTTTTATGGCAAACTACTTTGTCTACAGTGAGAACCAGAACACTCTGGAATCTATGACTTTGAACAGTGATCATGAGACACCACACTTGTTCGGTGTAAAAAGGCCCAATTTACTTAATAAGTGATTTCATAAGTAACTGGTAAAACTATTTGCTTTGTATCTATTATCAATTACAATAAATAACTGGCATAATGTCGTCTTCCTATTCTACTGTTTTCTAGTTATCACTGTAATGTTTGCTTTTTGTTTGAATAATGGGATTTGCAACAGTAGAATCCAAAAAAAATATTTGTTGTTTGGTCAAAAATTAACAAAGGAATTGAGTCTTCGCCACAAACTATTATTTCACAATCCCTATATCTTTGCAACCCTATGACGTAACCCTTAGACATTTCTAACTATGAAAGCTGTTAGATCATATAATCTAATTTTAAAATATCAAAGGTTTACACAATTAGGTTTATAGATTTTGAGTTTGTGTCAAAACTCAATTTATTTGAAAACACCTTGAAAAAAATGAAGAAAAAATGTTCTCACTGAGAAGAAAAGAAAAATATAGAAAATGAAAAAGGTTATAATTATTAAGAATTTATTGAGCAGTAGAATGCCACAATTCATCATTTCTAAACACATTCATACAGTTGGTTAATAAAATTGTTAATAAAATTAATAATATGTTAAAACAGGGATATATCCAAGGAATACAATAAATATCCAGAATGAATCAAATTTTATACAACAAAAAACATGATCAAAAACACCCTCAGTCATGGGATAAAATAGCAGCACCAAAATTTTTCATGAAAATTATATTTATTGTTTATCCACTGACTGAAGATCTTTTTATGGTGATTAGAACTGGTTTAATAAAAGCTTACGTACTAGTATCACATGGTCAGGTAGTTTCGGTACAACATATACAGTACACTACAGTACAGTACATGGACAACATCGTACAACTTGACGGAATTTTGGCACAAAATGGTTTGTTTTTAAAAGAAAGTCTATTGAAATATACTTCCGAATTGAAAAAGAAAAAATGAAGCCTTTTTATTAAAATGTTTGCACATTCCCTTTAATGTAAGTGTGCAGTCCAAATACTGTACATAATGTACATACATAAGACAAGGGAAGATGAATATATTTGACCTGTATATTATAATCTTCACTACAAGCTCAGTAAAGGGAGGGTTTAAAGGGAAACTACTCTTGTCTTCAAAATTATTAAAAGTTAGCTATACAAACAAATTTGTTCAGGGCACTCACTGTAAAAATTGAATTCTAAATGACTTTTTAACAGTGCACAACTGTTTTGATCTGATATCTTGGCACAGGTTATTTTTCTAGTAGTAACATTTTTACAGTGCATAGAATTAAAGAAAATTAGCTAAAATACATCAAATATTAGGTTGACGGCTGGTTGGTTTAGCGTAGGTAGTCTGGTGCTGGTTCTAGGAGGGGAGGAGTAGGGGTTGTGAACAGGGGGTTAGGGAACTCTGCAGGATGAGGTAAAGGTCCGGTACTCTTGGGTTTACGTCTGTAGGCCATTAGCCAGCAGGACACAGCAATAGCAACAGCAACAAGTGCGAGTAGTGCTGTGATAACCAAGGCTATGATGAATCCTATCTTGGAGACACAAACATCCTCATCCTTCTCTTCTCCAGTCCTAGGATCAACTCTAGATTCCTTTCTCCGTTCTATGGTTAGGATTGCGTTGGAGGTGACCTCTATCTCCTCCCGAAGCTGACCGGTGTACACACTACCTTCAACCTCACGCTTCTCGCGGGTCTCATTGACTTCGTTAACACCTCTTCTTCGTCGTCCGTATGCGTTACTTCCGGCGCAGTTCTGAGGTTGGCACTGTCCAAAGCATACTCGGATGTTGCACTGGAACCGGATGTTGTTCTGTGAAGGAAACTTGAAGGCGCTGAAGGTGGATGTAAGAACCCCTAGACCGCGTTCATATTCCCATTCTCCAAATATGGAAGGATCAGTGGCGCAGCCGTTATCGTCAGTTACAAGGTATTCATTTTCAAACATCATTATGGAAGAGTCCACATGTGCCGAATTGCACCTTGAAATCAATATTATCTATTCCAGTCTGTTGAACATCTATTGCTTGTCTACAGCGCTCATCATTGCTATGTCCCTTCACGTACATTACTCCGTTAAAGTTCTTGTCTCTCAGGTTTATATCAACTAGGACACCATCAGACAAGCAGTTCACCTAGGCATTTTTTAAAAAAACATAAATAACTAAAATTTATAAAAATTTATTTGTAAAAAATCAAAAAATGTATCATGTAAAACTAAGAAATTGAGTATTCCACAAGAACTTTTTAATCCCTATTTTTTAGCAATCCGATATAACTACTGTTAGATCAAAAAGTCTAAGAATAATGGTTTACACCATTAGTCCGGTTGCAAAGATATAGGGATTAAAAAAATTGTCTTTGTAAATAAAAATGAAAAATAAGATATCCAGAGCTTGAAACTTTTAAATAGACTGATCAAGTGAGTTAAACTCATTTCTAGTAAAATCTTTCAATAGTGAAAGATTAAATCAAAAACGATCAGTTAAAGAGTTAAAGTTATGAAGCTCAACTCAACAACACAAAAAAGTGTTCACCTTTAGATTTGCTTTAATGTTTTTGAAGATTACTTACGGTTAGATCTGGTCTGGGGAAATCAGTTTTGGTCGGAGGTTTGATTGGTACAGGTACACAACCATCCACAGGGTTACCAATATATCCTTCTATACACTTGCACACGCACCTGGAACAAATACAAAACTTAATGTATTTTTCAAATTGGATATAATTAATTAAATATTGATATTGAATATTAGCAGATTCAACGTTAATTCTCTAATTCCATTATCTTCGAAAATGTCCACCACTCCCCATTAAAATTGAATCAAATTAAATTAAAATGAAAAGAAAAAAGCATAATGTTGTGATAACAACACGTGAACAAATATTGCAAAAAACAGAAGATATTAAAACACTATTTTGCGTCTGAGTCGAAGTTCTTAAAAAGAAAAATTACAAAACTAAATTAGACTTTTTTCCACAATTCTATCCGGAAATGACTAAATGTTTTCTTTCACAATTCTATCCGGAAATAACTAAATGTTTTCTTTCACAATTCTATCCGGAAATGACTAAATCTTCACTTCCACACTACTATCCGGAAATGACTAAATGTTTACTTCCACACTACTATCCGGAAATGACTAAATGTTTACTTCCACAATTCTATCTGAAAATGACTAAATGTTTACTTCTACACTATCCGGAAATGACTAAATGTTTACTTCTATACTATCCGGAAATGACTAAATGTTTACTTCTATACTATCCGGAAATGACTAAATGTTTACTTCTATACTATCTGAAAATGACTAAATGTTTACTTCTATACTATCCGGAAATGACTAAATGTTTACTTCTATACTATCCGGAAATGACTAAATGACTAAAGTAAGGTCCTAAAACGTGTAATGGACTTGTACAGTTAAAATTCAAAGTTAAGACTATTCTTAATTAGTTAAAATGACTAACCTATGATCTAGTGGGGTACCGTAGGCATTAACTCCACATGGCCATCTTACACAAGGATCTCCACAAGTGTTATTATTCAGCTCACAATACTTGATGTTGGAACAATCATCATCTATCACACATTCAAGAATAGGCACACAGATTCCTAGAATAATAATTATTTTTGAACCATGGACTTTTGAAAGAATGGAGATTAACTTCATCCCTGTTTTTTTCCTGTAACGTTAAGTTGGATTAAAAATTTCATTATATGATCAATTTTGGTCTTTTTTAATATCAGCTAACCGCCCAACAGTTTGGTTTTTGTGGCCTATCAGAAAAGGTTATTCAACTTAGAAGGCTAAAATATGACATACAGTCTATTCAATATGTTTATTTTGGACCTCTGGTTGATGGTTAGCAGATTTCTAAAAAACTCCAAAATGTAATACTCCTACTGTGGTGTGTTAAGTTTATGCCCTGATTCACGATTAATAAACTCACTTTTCATTAAAGTCAAATTGGCCATTTATAATGTTACCTCCAGGTCCTAACTCCATTCCAGGTGGACAGATGCAAGCTTTACCGTCCTCAGAGGGAACTAATCCCTTGCTGGAGTCACAGAGACAACGTCCTCCATTCAGGACAAATCCAAGTTCTACAGGACATCGGACACAGTTCCCTTGGTTGTCTAAATAGTGTCCTGGAGGACAAACACACTCATCCGCAGCATTCAGGATCAGACCTCGGCCAGGAGGACAAGTTGGTACTAAAAATTTAACAAGTTTAAAAATATTCAAAATTTTTTTTTAAAAATGTATTTTAAGTAAACAACTAAATTGACCTCTTCTGGTACAATTTTTTATGAAATTAAATGTCTCTTTGAAACTGTTTGAAGATTGCTATCCAAAAAATATTAATATTTGATCATGATGACTCATTTACCTGGAGTACAACGTATTGCCGCATTTCCTTGGTATCCTGTGATACAGATACAGACCATAGTTCGAACTGGGAGTGTATCCAATACCTGAAAATATCAAGAACAACTTGAATTATTTTATAGAAAAACTGTTAAGAATTTAAAGCCAAAAGAAATAGGAACACATTGGGTGTGTTCCTACTTTTTTGAAATTATTGGTTCTGTTTCATTTTGTTCCGTTTGTAACATCCAGCCCTACTCATTAAACCAAGGAGGACTTACCGTGCACTTAGCATTTTCTCCACATGGATCTGCCACAGCACATGGATTTATGCACTCTTGATTGATGCAGGCTGTTTGGCTTGGACATTCAGAATCTGACCTACATCCAATATCCACTAAACAGAACAAAAATTATTCAATTGTTCTAAGTTGATTATTAGAAAAAACAACTAACTTACCTCTGCTGCAAGCTGTTCCCTTAGTGCCCTCAAATCCTGGTGGGCATTCACAGTTTGGTTTATGATCTGCCACCGTACACTCTGCAGGCTCAGAACAGGGATTGGTTATAGAACAAGGGTCTACACACAGTCCATTGTAGCAAGCCTTATCTCCAGGACAGTCAATATCAGATGTGCAATCAACTGCAAAACATGTGACTTTAGGATCTCCCTTGAGACCTGGAGGACATGAACAGACAGCTTCATGGTTAGTAGCAGTACAGATAGCTTCTCCCCCACAGGGAGCATTTCCTGGACCGCAAACAGGTCTACACTTCTCATTTCTACAGGCATGAGAATCTAAGCAGTCATCATCTAATCTGCATTCTATCTGAATACAGGCAACATCAGGATTACCCTCATATCCATCCTCACAAGTGCAAACAGGCTTATGACTGATGACTCGGCAGAATGCATGATCACCACAAGCACATGGGTCTTTGCAGATCTTGTTGACACAGGCGTCTGGTTGCCCGCATTCATCATCTGTTGAGCATCCTGCCAAGATGGGAGTTAAGGTCTTACAACTTGAGTTGTCATCACTTACATATCCATCAGGACAGGTACAGACCATGGTTCGAACAGGGAAAGAGTCAATGACAGAACAAACTGATGGATGTGTGCAAGGAGCTCGAGTTTCACAGAGAAGTTCGCACTTATTGTCAATACAGCCATGCCTTGAAGGACAGTCTTTGTCCTCCACACATTCAGGTGTTGGTATTGGTACACAGGCAATAAATGGGCTACCAGTAAATCCAATGGGGCATCTGCATTCCGGTTTATGATTAGCTACCAAGCAATCAGCATTTCTTGCACAAGGATTTTCATACAAGCATGGGTTTATACAGTCCTTGTTGCGACATGCCTTGTCTTGGGGACATTCTGGATCTTGGCGACATCCTATAACTTCACAAGATACAAATGGATCACCTTCATAGCCTGGGATGCACTGACAATTGGCTTTGTGTCTAGCTGGATAGCATTCAGCAAATCGTCCACAAGGATCTTGGACAAGACATGGATTGACACATTCTCTACTAATGCAGGCCTCTCCATCTCTACATTCATTATCATTTTGGCATCCAACAGGTTCACAGGCTATTAGAGGGTTTCCAACAAATCCAGGAGGACATCTACAGACTGGGCGATGACCTTCCACAAAGCATTGAGCATTCGATCCGCAATCACAAGGATCCATGCATTTTCTGTTAATGCACGCCTGGCCATTGGGACAGTCATCATTTCTAGAGCAGCCTGATGGAGCTGGTAGGTCTACTGGTCTACAACTGGTATCAGTGTCAGGTACCCAGCCTTCTCTACAGGAACAGATCATAGTTCTGAAGGGGAGACTGTTTACTACTGAACAAATGGCAGTGACGTCACAGGGTGAGAGGGCAATGCAAGGGTTCTCACATCTCTCGTTGAGACAGGCAGTGTTATCAGGACAATCTCCATCTACTCTGCATTCTGGTTCAGGATCTGGAACAGATGGAGACTCTTTGGGTGAGCAGGAGACTAGTGGATTTCCAACCCAGCCTGGCGGGCATGTACATTTGGCTATATGGTTTTGTACTGTACATGTGGCTGAGGGAGCACATGGGTTCTCGTACAAGCATGGATTAACGCACCGGTTTGAGATACATGCAGAATCCTGGGAGCAATCATCATTGATTCTACATTCTACCCGTATACACTGCTTGTACGGATCTCCTTCCAGACCTGGAGGACATTTACAAGCTGCTTGATGGTTAGTGGAGTAGCATATGGCATTGCTGGCGCAGGGGTTGTTTACAACACAAGCATCAACACAGTCACCAATCCCGTTGTTAGAAATGATGCAAACTTCAGTGTTGGGGCATTCAGGATCACTTCGGCATCCAACTGAAATACAGAAAAAAAAGTTTAGAATTAGATCCATTTAGATCACAATAAGGAGAAAATTCAATAGGACAAAGTAAAATACAGAACAGAACCATTTTATTTGCCACAAGAGGCTCAACCGGTGTACACAAAATGTGTAAATAGAACGTTATCAAATCAATACATTTGAGATAAAAATATAAAAAGCTGACCTGGTACACATTTGATCTCTGGGTTCCCAGTGAACCCTGGTGGGCAGAAACAGGTTGGTTTGTGGTTGGACACAAAACATTGGGCATTTACTCCACAGCTGCAGGGGTCAACACAATCCCTAAGCAGAGGGCATAAATTCATAAACATATAAACTTGTAGAGAATTAATTCTTAAACAAGAGAAGGAAAGTTTTGTCTATTGCAATGAAGGACTTCCTTAATCAGTAAAAAAAATTGATCTAAAAAATATAACGTTTTTTGTCATCCACTTTTTATTACTAATTTCGCTAAAAAAAAAAGTTAGATTCGTATATTTCAAACGTCCATTTCTGTCAAAAAAGCAATTGTAAACTGAAGTAATCCAAATCAAAAATCAAAAATCAGAAGTCAAGATGACAAGAAAAACAATTCTCCCTTTAAAAATAAAGACTATACTCCCACTCATATATCATTAAAGGACTGTTAGCGGGGTTACAACAGACTATACTCCCACTCATATATCATTAAAGGGACTTTTAGCGAGGTTACAACAGACTATACTCCCACTCATATATCATTAAAGGAACTTTTAGCGGAGTTACAACAGATTATACTCCCACTCATATATCATTAAAGGGACTTTTAGCGGGGTTACAACAGACTATAATCCCTCTCATATATCATTAAAGGGACTTTTAGCGGGGTTACAACAGACTATACTCCCACTCATATTTCATTAAAGGGACTTTTAGCGGGGTTACAACAGGGTATACTCCCACTCATATATCATTAAAGGGACTTTTAGCGGAGTTACAACAGACTATACTCCCACTCATATATCATTAAGGGACTTTTAGCGTTTTAGAATGATCTAGACGGGTGCTAAGTTATCAAACCTTTCTATGAATTCTGAACTAAAAATATTTTAGTAAATTTTTCCGGTATTTTATTTAAAAGAACTTTAACTGTAATTTCAAATGACTCTCATCCTCCAAAAACCAGTTTAAGCGCCGGCTAAAATCTTGAAAAAATTACTACAATTTTAGGTGAAACCAACCATATTTAAGCCGCGGCCTAAATTCTTTAAATTCGGCCTCAGTTCCTTTTAAAAATTGATGTTGATTTTTCTAATAAAATGCTTTTTCTTCTATTGTTTAGAGAATATAATTAAGTCTGAGTTTATCCTCTTCAGTTCTAGTGATATCATAAGATCAAACCCATCCAAAAAAAAATCCCTAAAAGACAAGTCATACAGTTTTTTAAGCAAAAAAATACACTTTACAAATTTCTTTTTAAAGTCAAAAGGACACTTCTAAATTTACTTAAGCCGAAAAAGAGGCATGATTTAACAAAATTGTGAAAGAGTTAATGGATGGAAACTTTTGAAGCCCACCTGTTGTTACAGGCCTCAGTTTGTGGACATTCATCATCTGATTGACAACCCACTAGCACAGGAACAGCTGAAATATAGATTTTATAAATTCATAAATCAAAAGCAGATATGTTATAGAAAGATAAATATATAATTGGTAAAAAATTTGCCAAAAACGTTAGGCAATAATTAAAAAAAAAACATTACTAATTAATGATAACAAACTTGAAAGTGATAGTAATAATAATGATAATGATAGGAATAATAAAAAACTATTAAATACTAACAAATAACTTTTTTTTTAAATTATCTAAATACCATAATAATAAAATGCAAATAATTAAGTGCAAATATGTTTTGTAGTGCAAACAAAATGTGCGCAAGCATGCAACAATTCTAAAAAAAGACAAAATGCAAATTTTCTTCTTTGCAGTCATTTCTGTAGAAAGTTTTGCAGAGAGTTCCTTTAAACTATCTCACAATTACTTACGTGGTGTACATGAAACTCTTGGATCTCCTATGTACCCTGGAGGACATGTACAAACCGGTTCATGATTCTGAACCTTGCAGTACGCATTAGTTGCACATGGATCAGTGACAGCACATGGATTCAAGCACTGCCTATTTATACAGGCGTTGTAATCAGGACACTCTGAGTTATCCCTACACCCGGGCTCCAGGGGCTCAACCAGGTCAGGGGTAACTAAACATTTATACATGCAATATATGTACACTAGTGTACAATAAAACTGTACACTGTACAATGACACTGTACATTGTACAGAGACTGTTAACGAAATTTTAGTATTTCTTTCTTTAACGATAACAAAAAAGACTGTGATTGTTAAAAGTGATTGTTAACGTAATTTCATCTGACTCTACATGCAAAAATGGCAATGTCCGATTTACATCGGTACCCTTGAAACTTCTATCTGATCAATACTGTGGAAGATATTGTCGATTTTCTGGATTTAGAAGTATTAAATTGTGTTCCTATATTTTTTTGGGAAGAAAAACCACAATTGAAAATAAACAGTTTTCAAAATTATCAACATTGATATTCAATACACATTTGATCAGACAAAACTTTCGAGGCTACTTTTGTGAGTCGGGCATTGCATCTTTGCATGAAGGGTTTCTTGTTATTTTGCTTACAGTCCCTTTAAAATTATCCCTTTAGGTGCGACAGAGCTGGAACCTTATAAATGAACATATTGAGAAATCCTATTCTCGAATCAGAGATTGTTTATTCTCAACAGTCAATTTAAAAGATTCCATCTGTGACAATCAAATTTATAATTTTACAATATTTTTGTGCAAAAACTTACTTTTCAGGCATTGTACTTTAGGGTTGCCAGTGTATCCTATAGGACAAGTGCAACTAGATGCATGCAACCTGGATTTGCAAATGGCATTTGATCCACAGGGATCCACTAAACATGCATCCCGACATGATCCATCCAAACATTTATGTGAATCCGGACAATCATTATCTGATAAACAGCTAGGTCTGGGAGTAACTGAAAATAAAAATAAATTCGATCGAGATAGATTTTTGAATATGAGGAATTACTTAAACAACAACGATATCCAGAAAACTCTGGAATAGAAAGACGACTTTTAAACTCAAGTTATGACTTTAAATAGTCCAATGCACACAGTTGTGCAGTGGAAACAGATCAATTTCAATTCATAAGTAAACTAATAAGTTTCTAGTAAATCTTATTGCTAATTGAAACAACATCAAATCCACTTAATTATCGCTTTAATTCTATTCCAAAGTATTCTAGTTCTCACTGTAAGGTAATCATTTTGTTTCTTGGGGCACTTAATTTACTTAAATTACTTAATTTACTTAATTCACTTAATTAACTTAATTAACTTAATTTACTTAAAGGGACAGTAAAGGAAAAATGAAAGGGGGTATAGGCTGAAAGCTAATCACTTTAGCTCTTGATCGCGACCCATGAAAGTTTTATCTGATGTTCCTGTCTCGAGAAATTGATATAAAACTGTGTTATAATTATACGAAAATTCATATATGTAAAATTTTGAAAATCTGAAACTTAAATCACGTGACCAGAACTATCACCAATGGCAGAGCAGTATACTGGTCACGTGTCTCTGCCTGTATCACGTGACCACTTTACTGCACTGCAATTGGTGGAATTTCTGGTCAAGTAATGCGGAAGTAAAAATAATATTATGAATGAAATCTATTGAAAATAGAAACAACAAATATAAAAGTAAACCTAAATTACAATTAGCTTTCTCTGGGATATCATCTTTTTCAGATTGGTTGCTGTTTTTCTGAGCATGGTCTGTTTAAACCTACTATTTCTATACGAAATTGTATATATATGCATTTTCGTACAAGTTTGAAACAGCTTTATATCAACTCTCGAGTTAGGAACTTCAGATAGGCGTCTCAAGGGTCTCGATGAAAAGCTAAAGTGATTAGCTTTCAACCTATACCCCCTTTCATTTTTCCTTTACTGTCCCTTTAATTTACTTAATTTACTTAATTTACTTAATTTACTTAATTTACTTTCAATGTACTTTTTGAATCAAAAGTTGACCCCCTGTCTTTTAAAAAATAATAGATGGTAACTTTTTGTACCTTTGGGTTTACAATCACCGTTTGGTCCAATAAACGTGTCTTCTGGACATGTACATATGACAGTACGTATGGGAGAACTGTTCTGTACGGTACATGTTTGTGTTGGATGGCAGGGCTGGGATAGGCAGGGATCTGTGCATTGTGCTTGGATACAAGCATAGCGGGGTGGACAGTCGTCATCAACCTTACATTCAGCTTCTACAACCTCAGGAGCTAAACACAGGATATCAACCATCACATAATTTGGAAAATTTTAAAAATAAAACGTTATAAAAAAATCTGTTTTTTTGTTTTGTAATTTTAGCTTACAACGTTTTATAAATTAAATGGATTTAGAAATTCCATTAATTGGTCCTTCTGTGAAGTGTTTAACCCGTTTTTTTAAGTATTGGTCTCCAATAAGACTGATAAAATGAAATAAATGTCTTTTAAAAAAATCGAATTTCTTACGTCTAATACAGGCGACGAATCCACTTCCTCTTGCTCCCGGATTACATGTACACTGAGGTTGATGGTTAGCAGGTGTACATGTAGCATCCTGTGTACATGTATCTTGTTTACAAACAGGTACACAAGTTTGACTGAGGAACTCACAAGCTTGATCATCTCGACAATCCTGATCAACTTGACATTCTACACTGATACAGGCAACTAGAGGATTCCCTTGTAGTCCTACAGGACAGACACAGCGAGCCTGGTGGAAGTCAACACGACACTCTGCTCCTCTTCCACAGGGGGTCTGAGTGGAGGTACAGGGGTTCACACAATGCTCTTGAATGCAAGTTTTATCCAGAGGACAATCATTGTCAACGCGGCATTCAGCTAGAAAACGTAATTGTAAATTTTAAGAAAATTTGAATTATCAAAAAACTGAACCAGAAGTCAATTTTTTGTGTTGTAAATCTCTGAACCAAACATAGATCTCTATTTTATGCAAATTAATTTAATTCCTCATGATCATACTCTGTAGGGATAACTTTAATCAAGAGATTAAGCAGTATTCCTCAAGTTTAAAGTGACCACATTGGATATCGAGATAAAGCGATTAATATTAACAATATCTACACAAAAAAAATACAATAAAAAAGAAAGGAACGTACGTCTGTAACATTGTGTGTACGGGTCTCCTCCATATCCTTCCGCGCATGTACACACTGGATGATGTACATGTGTTGTACAGATAGCATCTCTTGCACAAGGGTTCTGTACAATGCATGGATCAATGCAACGTTGATTAATACAGGCTTGGGAATCTGGGCACTCAGGGTCTTCTGTACACTCAGGTCTTGGTTCAACTAAACAATACATGCAGTGCAGTACAGTACAAAATAACCAGTTTTTTATTTTGTTTATTCGTCATTTTTATACTGGTAAAAAGTGTAAATTGGAGAGAACATTCTATCTATAAGCCCCATGCTTCAGTGCAATTTGTGCAACCAAAAAAGTTAACAGTTAATTATATACATTGTACAACATGAAGTTCGGTGGGTTAATGTACAAGTTACAGCATGCAATTGGTTACTGGATTAGTACATACTTGGTTTGAAGCACAGCTGGTACGGATCTCCTACCAACCCTGCAGTACAATAGCAGTATGCTGTACGATTGTACGGTTTACACACAGCTGTCTGATCGCAAGGGTTGTTTGTAAAGCAGGGGTTAGTACAGAGGGTTAGAATGCAGGCATCAGGGTTACTACAATCTCCGCTTACTTTACAGCGTCGAGGAGGCCGGGGTAGAACTGAAGTTAAAGTAATTAGTAATTAGTAATTAGTAATTAGTAACTAGTAAATTGTAATTAGTAAAAAGTTATTAATAATACGTAAATTATAATTAGTAATTAGTATTTAGTATTTAGTAATAAGTAATTACTTATTACTAATTAGTTATTAGTAATTTGCAATGCGCAATTACTAATTAATAGGTTTAGTAATAAGATATTTTCATTTAGTATGGAATAGAAAGACGACTGTTAGCCTTTAGCTATAATTTCAAATAGTCCCATTAAGATATACGGTGATAATCAGAAAACTCTGGAATAAGAAGAAGACTTTTAGACTCAAGTTAAATGAACATGAGGTTTTGCAGTGTAAATAGACCCATTTCAGTGAACACGTTATTTAATAACTTATCAGTATTTTGTAAAAACATCAAGTGCACTTCAGTATTGCTTAAATGTCGTCTCCCCATTCTACAATTTCCTGGTTATCACAGTAGCATTTAAATCGTGTAGTATACATAAACCAATTAAATTGCATAAGTTGGTTTTCAAGCAACAGATGAAACTGTTTTCTTTATAATAACATCACATAGAGATATAGATTGTTTAACCCATGCATCAGCTTTCTATTCCAAAATTTTCCATTATACTTTTGATGATGTATTAGAACTGACATCTTAACTCAATGTTATTTACATATAAAAGAACAGAAATTTATTTTTCGATATTATTTTTAAATTTTACATCTTTTCAAAACTCCTGAATTCAACTATTAAATGTCAACTATTAAACTAATATCGAACACTTTATAATGCATAAAATCAGATCTTACTTTATCTATTTTTAAAGCTCATTAATCATAGACGAAACATGATTGTAAATTTTTAATAACATTTAATTTTTATTTTTTCAATTTTGAATGTTGATAAATGTATTTTTTGTCATTACGAAAGTAAGAATTTAAAAAATAATCGTGTTTTACAATTGCAAAGCAAGATATATCAAATGCAATTTAAATCGTGAAACTAATTATTTTCACTAAAAATATATTGCTTTCTAATACTTCATCCTTGGAATTTTGGAAATTTTGAGGCGACAGACAAAAGTATTTAGAATTTTATATAAAGAAAAATCCTTAAAAAGAACAGTATTTCGGCCATTAATTTCCAAATAGAAAAACATTGATAACTTTATTTTAAATAAAGTATTAGTTTACGACGTTGGCTTCTTTAACCCAGGAGTCACCTTTACCAGTGGTATTAGTAATTAATTCTAATTTGTTTAATGTTATCAAACATAACTTTTGGAATTTAAAAAATTCTAAAACTCGAAATTTAACTAAAATAACTGAAAAATATTTCTAAGTTCCTTTTTTAGTCTTCGTTAAAATTACATTGGTTTAATATTAGTTTAAAGTAGGTTCATAAATCATAATTCAAAAATTATCTAAAATGTTATTAGTTATTAGTTATGTGATATTAGTAATTTTCATCATTCTTAAATCTTCATACTGTTTGTTATTAAACATTTGTTAGATTACAAAAGCTATGTTCTCTCCTCTCTTGTATTCCGTTGATGAAACCTTTAATTTTAAAAGCTGATTTCTAATATTAAAAAAAATTCAAATTAATTTATGAACGGGTAAGATGTCTTCAGAGGGCATAGGGCAATTCAGAAAAAAAATTGAATACATCCTATGTCATCCCTTTTTTTATATTTATTTTGTTTAATTTTTGTCAAGAATAAATCTGCTTGAGCCTGTTTTTTGGCTGTTCAATCCCATACAAAAGTCCCGTCTTACAGAAAAAATACATTCATTTTTTTTCAAGCCGTCTCACCCCACGTCCTTTGACCTGTCCCAAAATCTTTGAGCCGTTCACATATCTTTTTTTACATAAAAAGTGTACTGCAGTTTCTGGAAATTTGTGTACATTCCTCCCAGAACTTGCAGTACATTTTATGTATAAAAAAATGAAAGAGGTTTTTGTTGTAATCTGCTTGACACATGTGGCAGCTTCCTACTTACTTGCATAGCAGTTAGTGAAAGGGTCCCCTGTAGTTCCGCTAGGACAGGTGCAGGTCAACCTATGCGTGTTAACCTCGCAGTTGGCTGTTGTAGCACAAGGGTTCGCCACTATACAGGGGTTAACACAGTTTCCTTCACGACATATCTCGTCGTTCCCGCACTCGTTGTTAGATTTACATCCTAGTACTGGCACTGGGGCTGCACAATAAATACAAATGTTAATCAATAAGTAGATTTAAAGGGACTGTAAGCGTAATTTGAAAGGACTCTTCTTGCACAGATGGAAAACCCCGATTCACAATGGCACCCTTTTCATTGTTGAACACGTTGCTTGCAAGCTGTTTTAAGTTTTCAAAAATATTAATATTCAATTTCTAGAATCAACTGAAAAAAAATATTTTTTTTTTTTTGGAAACCGGTATTAATGTAAAATATTCAGTAATGCCAAAGGACGCAAGTAATGCATCAGCTATGTTGAGTTCACACTGTAGGCAGTGTACACTGCATTTTACAGGAATTCAAGTGGTTTTTAAGAGGTTTAAACACAGAGCTCTCATCTCATTACTTAATGAAAAGTCGAAGGTTTTAAGAGTATCGTTGTGAATCAGGCATTGCCATCTTTGCATGGAGGGTAACTCGAAAATACACTTTCAGTACCTTTAAACCTATAGAACACATAAAGTAAATACATGGTATGCCATCTAAATATATTAAAAAATTACCTTTTATTCTAAACCTAGAAAAAAAAATAATGTAAATAAAATCTTACGTAGACTGCACAAAGTATTCGCATCTCCGACATATCCTGCTAAACACATGCAGATCATGGTTCGCTGTGGCAGGGTGTTTTGAACAGTGCATTCAGCATTCACGCCACAAGGGCTAAGTGTAGTGCAGGGGTTTTGACAGTGCTCGTTTAAGCATGCTAGTCGACTTGGACAATCACTGTCCACTCGGCATTCAGGTTCAGCAATATCTGGTTCGGGAACTGAAAATAGTAAAATTGCCAAGTGCACTTTTACCAAAAGTGCTAAGAAAAGCGGTAAGTAAATAATATTCATAGGCATGTATTCTTTAGTTTTATTGGAAATAAAAATGATTATTGGTTTGAAACGGGGCTGTTTTGAATAAAATACAAAGAAATTATTCCTACCAGGATAGCAGCCTGTGTTGTAAGGATCTCCTATGTATGATGTGATGCATTGACATCTAGCTCTGTGACTTCGAACAATACAGTTGGCGTTGACAGCGCAAGCACATGGATCTACGCACTTCTCATTCTCACAAGCAAGAACTTGAGGGCAGTCGTCATCTACTATACATTCAGGTTTCCTACATACTTGGTATGGATCTCCAAGGTAGCTTGGTGGACAAACGCATTTTGCCTGATGTGTTCGAACCTCGCATATTGCTTCAATCCCGCATTGTTCATAAATGCATGGGTTTTGGCATTCCTTTTGTATGCATGCTTGGGTGAGTGGACACTCAAAGTCACTCTTGCATCCAGCTAAATAAACCCAAAATAAAACATTCAACTACATGATAAATAATCTAAAGGTAATTTTTCAAGTGCAATTGAATACTTACGTTCAATACATGCTCTGTATGGATCGCCTTCAAGTCCTGGAGGGCAAACACACACAGCTCTATGGTTATTGACTCTACAAATGGCTGTAGCAGCACATTGCTCTGGTATACAAGGATCCCTGCATTTTTGTCCTATGCATGCAAGGTGCAGTGGACATTCAGGATCAGTGACACATTCCGGCTTAGGTGCTAAAACAAAAAACATGCTTAAATTTAGTGAAAGTGTTCTTACAATTTGATTTTCAGCAATTGAGAATTAATAAAAAAAAAGTTGGGCTGATTCAAAATGTAAGACACTTACGTTCTCGAATAGGAGTGCAAAGTTGATATGCATTTCCTTCATAGCCCGGTGGACAGATGCAGTTTGCCCGGTGGTTTCGTACTTCACAGATAGCATTTATTCCACACTGGTTGTTGTAGACACATGGATCTTTACACTTCTGCTCAATACATGCTAGAGTGGTAGAGCAGTCACTATCAATAGTACACTCTGGTCGGCATTCTGAGTATGGATCTCCTTGGAGCCCAGACGGACAGGTACATTGGCAATAGGAGCCTGATGGTCTTGCTATAGCATTGATTCCACAAGGATTAGGGTTACAAGGATCCACAACCACTGGATCTGGTCTAGGCGGCTGGGTGCATTCAACCAGTGCATTCCCAATGTATCCGGGAAGACAGGAACAGACGGGAGAATGTCGGCGTACCTCACAAACAGCATTTCTTCCACAAACCCCAGGGCAGGGATCGTAACAGTGTAGGTTCCTACAGGCCATAGTGTCAGGACAATCAGAGTTGATTACACATTCCGGCTTACATTCAACATAGGGATCTCCCCTATATTCTGGAGGACAGGTACACTCACAATCATCTCCCACTCGTCTAGTGATTGCTCCTGCACCGCAAGGGTTGGGTACACATGGATCTGATATGACTGGCTCAGCTGAAATATCTTTATTGAAATATCTAATCTAACACGTAGATGCACTAAAAGATGCAACAATTTGTTTAAAACCTGAAAAAATGCAAGTGCAAAACATGCTTTACTTACGTTCCAAGGAACATCCTCTAAATGGGTCACCAACATAATTGGGAAGACAGGTACAAACAGGACTATGGGTCAACACACGGCATTCAGCATTAAACCCACAAACTCCAGGGCATGGATCTATGCACTTGTTCCTGCAAAACAAAATGTATTACTATTTTTAAACAAAGGCAAAGACAGACTTTAATTTCATCCAAATTCAAATCTAATTTCTATTATTCTCGATAGTTAAGGCACAATTTTTTATTCAATACTTAAAAATTGGATTTGAAAACTCTTAAAGAAATTGAGTCTTTGTCACAAACACACATTTTCTAATTCCTTTTATTCCTTTTAAAACCTTTTATATTTCAAACTATGAATTCTGTTAGATTAAATAATCTAAGTTTGAAAAATCAGAGGTTTACACCATCAGGTTGGAAAACTATAGGGATTAGAAAATTTGAGTTTGTAGCAAAGACTCAATTTCTTAGTACATAGATTTTAGGAACATATGATGGGGTTCAAATTTCACATTTTGAAAAAAAAGCATTTTTTCCAAATGGACCAAATCATGTATTTATAAACAAAAAGATTTTTGAAATTTTGCTGCATAATTTATAGATTTACATTTTAATACAGGATCATCCACAAAAGATAACACCTTTATGACGACCTGCTAAAGCTCTTTAAGTATTCCGATCTGAATGTTGATATTCTTTAAAGGTATGATAAATAGAAATCTAAAAAATAAGTTAAAATCTGCAGGGAACCTTGAATGTAAGAAAAAGGGCTGAACAAATTCTGTACAGTCGTCTCTAATGTGGTAACCCTGTATGACAAACCAAATATATCAAAGAGAATATAATGAAACCCCTGAAAAACTTTAATATGCTTAAGTAATTCTTGAATTTGATAATACATAGTTAATACTCAAATCAAAGCAAAATATACCTTCGCTAATCAAATTTTGAATTTTAAAAATGTGGTCTGCCTGCTTTATAAAGCATGAAAACTTTACGACATTTTTTAGAGAACATCACATCAATTCACAAAGTAACTTTAAAAGCTTTGTCTGATCAAGAGTTCATGAGATATTTATCATTTGCTCTTTGAAAATTAATTATTTTCAATTGTGGTTTCTCTTTAAATAGGTGGTCATTAGAAACTTAAAAAACAGTCCATTTGATTTAAAACATTTAAGTCTCATATGAATGTTTTCAAGAGGCTCATCATAAAGGAATAGAGTCTTTGCCACAAACTCAGAGTTTCTTATCAATATATCTTTGCAACCCAATGTGACCTTAGATATTTCAAACTCAGAATTCTGTTAGATAAAATAGTGTAAGTTTAAAATATAAATAAATTTGCACCCCAATGTCACAGAACTTAGATATTTCAAACTAAGTATTCTGTGAGATAAAATAGCGTAAGTTTGAAATATCAAAAGTTCACACCATTAAGTTGCTAAGATATAGGGATTATAAAATGTGAGTTTGAGGCAAAGACTCAAGTTATTTGTAATTTTTAACATTTTTTTATACATGTTTAAAAAGTTTGCAGTACACAAGTTGGCTTAGGAAAATAAATGGAATTATAAATCTAGCTCAAAAAGAAGAAAATTTTGAAATAAGCTTGGCTGCTTTTATTTTAAAAGATCATGAACATTGCAAGTACAGCGAAACCCTTAATAACGAATACATCGGAAGAATTTATCTAATGTCGTCTTGACAATTTTTCAATGAGTTTTATACTATATTACGTAAATTTCAGTATTTGCGAAAATAAACAAATAGCTATGAATATGCGGGAACAGTTTTAAAGAGTTCCATATAATCATTTCATTAAAAGACTAAATATCTGCGACATTCCATTATCAGAAAGTGAAAAAGACGACATTTGATGAATTCTTTCGATGTATTCGTTATTAAGGGTTTCACTGTAGTTAAACGGATTTTAAAGTAAATAAACCATTTTTGTCGCTTATTTGGAATCTATCCAACTTTTGCTGCTAAATAAGCAATTTTTCTGATTTCTAAATGTGTAGTTGGGCAGACAACTAGAAACAGGGTTACCCACAAAGGATGAGACTATAAAGACGAAACTCTATATATATATATATCAATTTCAAATTAAGTCTTCCGCCCTCACAATAGTCGTTTGATAGCCTTTCTAATGACAAAAAAAAAGAGTTCACAGTTGCAGAGAATCACTAGAGTAAGGAAATAGACACGATAAATTCCATAAAGTTGTCATTGAAGTCTCATCCTTTGTGGGTAACCCTGATTTTTGGTTTTTCATCAAGTTCAGCTTGGTAACACTGATTCTTGTTTTTTTTTATCAAATTCAGCTTGGTAACCCTGACTCTTGGTTTTTTATTAAATTCAGTCTAAAATTAAGGTTCAATTAAAGATTAAATATCCTACCTGGAGCAAGCTTTGTCCATTGTACAATCCGAGTTAACCACACACTCTGGTTTACACCCGGAGTAGGGATCTCCGAAGAACTCTGGTCTACAGGTACACTCACACCGATTTCCTCGTACAGCTGGGTCAGCGTTGGCTCCACATGGGTTCGGATTGCAAGGATCTCTGGGTGGGGGAGGAGCTGAAATAAAACAAAGAGTTAATATCATATCTGAACATTAAAGGGACTGTAATCGTAATTTCAAGTGAACCACTATTCAAAGTCGGCAATGCCCGTTACAACGGTACCCTTGAAACCTTTATCTGATAAAAAACGTGGAAAATAACGTCGTTGTTTTAACTCGTTTAACAGTTTTAAAAAACAAAAACATTGACATCTAATCCATGCTTTATCAAACAAAGCTTTTAAGGGTACCGATGTAAATCGGGCATTGCCATTTTTACAAGGTAGATCGATTGCATTTACGCTTACATTCCCTTTAGAGTAGCTTTTTAATCAAATCAAAAAAAGTATTAACCTCTAAAATTTAATTTGGATTTGATTTGATTTCAACTTTTGAAATATAAAGAAATTAAGTCTATTGGATTTTGAGTTACATTGCGGACAAATTTTTGTGCTAAATTTGAAATTCACGTCAGAAATATAACATGTGCAAATATGCTCATGCAAAATTGTGCGAACAATTTACAACAAGGTGCAAAATGAAATAATGTAAATAAAAAATCCATGCAATAATCTGCATCTACTAAATAAAAAGTGCAATTTTGACAGTTGAACCCCCCCCCCCCTCCTCTCTGGCTAAAACTAATTTTTTACCATGCCAAATGTAAATTCTAACGTGATAGATACCATGCTTTGCGATTAAAAAATACCTAAATGTGCCCCCAACACTGTTTATAAGAAACATTAACATTTTCTGTGAAATACCAGTTAACCAAAATCATTTTAATAGAATTCATGACTAAAATGTTCAATATTTCTAACCAAAGTTTGGATATACATTAGTGTTTAATTTAAATTTGTTTTAATACATAAAATTGCCTTTCCTGTTTTACAAAAGTTCATTTATTATAAATGTTTTTGATCGTTAGATATTAAACAGTGCATGCTTACTTGTGGGTGGAGGGTAACATGCTGAGAATGGATTTCCTATAAGTCCTGGATCACATCTGCAGTTCGGACGATGGGTCTGTACGGTACATGATGCCCCTACCCCACACACACCCGGGCAGGGGTCAATACACTTATTCTGTACACAGGCCAGGGTAGTGGGACAGTCTGGGTTGATGGAGCATTCAGGTTTGCATTCAACATACGGGTTACCCTGGAGCCCAGGTAGACAGGTACAAGCTGCTGCACCATTCCGGTCAGAACACTCCGCATTTATGCCGCAAGGAGAGGGTCGACATGGGTCAACAGGTCGGAATGTGGTGGCTAAAAGTTAAAACAAAAATTAAAATAGACAAACTTTTTTTTAGATTTTTTAAAAAGAATATAGTTGTCTTACTTGGTGGTGTATAACAGTTTGAGAATGGGTCCCCAATATATCCTTGATTACAAATACAAATCGGGACATGGTTTCTAACATTGCAGTAGGCATTTACTCCACAGAGACCAGGGCATGGGTCTTGACACTTCCTATTTATGCATGCTTTGTCTGATGGACAATCAGAGTTAATCACACATTCAGGTCTACAGTTGGGAGGAGAACCTATCATCTCTGGTAGACAAGAACAGTCACATCTGTCTCCAATTTGTCTGGGTGGATTACTGTTGGGTCCGCAAGGGTTTGGATTGCACGGATCCACTTCAGCAATAATTGGTTCAACGGCTAAAAACAAATGGGAATCAAACAGGAATGGGGCCGGTTTATGGGTTGTAAAAATAAAAATTCTCCAAATCAAAAGAAATTATGTCATTATTATTTTTGGAAGTCTGCGAAAAAAAGAGGCTTATGGGTTGAGGGAGAGGAGTGAGTGGTTAGGGGGATTTGACTACATTTCTAAATATAAATTTATAATTTCACTTTAGGATATCTTAAGTTTAAGTTTTAAAAAAAGTTATCAGATCAAGCTCTTTCTTGCACTTTTTCTAAAGGAATGTATGTTTTTTTACACAATGTAAAAATGTATGAAAAAAAAATCAGAAATTTATGTTTAAAAAAATAAAAATAAATTTGTTTTCTTTTGATCAACAAAATTAATTACTCTCCTCAAAGTCTAATTAACAAACCTCTATATCTTTGCAATTCGATGGTGTAAACATTTGATATTTCAAAATTTAAACTATTCAACCAAGCAGAATTCTTTGAAATATTAAAGATTATACAACATCAAGATTCAAAGATAAAACCTTTAGATTTTGCTTTGGGTAGTCAGTTTCTTTCGAAAAAATAACAACTAAAAATAATTGTCAGACATTAATCTGGAAAAAAAACCTTGGTTGAATTCAAAATGAAAGATTCCAATGATGAAAAATTTTTGTTTAGAGCAAGAAGACTACAAAATGCTTACTAGATGGTATGCTAGAGCATGCTGTGAATGGATCTCCTCTGTATCCTGGGATGCAAGTGCAAGATGGTATATGGTTGATAACTCGGCATTCAGCATTTATCCCGCATACTCCGGGACATGGATCCACACAATGCAAATTCTGACATGCTTTTGTGCTTGGACAATCTGCATTAATTGTGCATTCTGGCCGGCATGCCACATATGGATCTCCAAAATACTCTGGGATGCACTGACATGCTGCAGCCCTTTGTCTATCAGTGCAGATTGCATTCTCTCCACATGGTGTGGGGTTGCAAGGATCTATAACTTCTGTGGGTGCAAGAGCTAAAACAAAACAAACATATATACATATATCATCCCTTTGATAAAAAATAAGAAAACTTTTTTTGGATTTTAAAACTTACGCGTTGTAAAACGACTACATGCAACAAATGCATTTCCTTCATATCCAGGATCGCACCGGCAAACTGGGAAATGGTTCTGTACCGAGCATGTGGCATAAACTCCACAAACACCTGGGCATGGATCAACACAATGCTGGTTTACACACGCTAAATGTCGTGGGCATTCAGCATTAACAACACATTCCGGTTTACATTCAATATAGGGGTTTCCTGTGTAGTCTCGAATACAAGTGCAACTAGTGGCTCCGCTGATATCATTACAGAGGGCATTAATTCCGCAGGGTGAAGGATTACAGGGTTGAGCTACCTCCACTGGTAAAATGGTACCTTAAAAAATCATTTTAAAAATATGAATATATGTAAAATAAAAAATTAAGTTGGGTTAAAAATATCTTACTGGGTGGCAAGTTACAACTAGAGAAAGGATCCCCAATGTATCCTTGATTGCAAACACAGATTGGAACATGATTTCGCACCCGACAGTAAGCATTTACTCCACAAAGACCAGGGCATGGGTCTTGACATTTCCTATTTATGCATGCTTTGTCTGATGGACAATCAGAATTGACCACACATTCAGGTCTACAGTTGGGAGGAGAACCTATCATCTCTGGTAGACAAGAACAGTCACATCTGTCTCCAATTTGTCTGGGTGGATTACTGTTGGGTCCGCAAGGGTTTGGATAGCAAGGATCTTCCTCAACTACTGGCTCAATGGCTAAATTATAACTTATATTGGTAAAAGATTGATTATTAGAAAAAAGACTATTAAGTAAAAGATACTTACGCAAAGGTTCTTTTCTACAGGAAACAAAAGGATCTCCAATATAGCCTTGGTTACAAACACATATAGGAATATGATTAGCAACTTGGCAGTAGGCATTAGATCCACATAGTCCAGGACAAGGGTCAACACACTTCATGTTTCTGCACTGCTTGTTGGTTGGACAGTCAGCATTTATAACACATTCCGGTCTGCATGCTACATACGGATCTCCAAAATATTCAGGAATACACTGACATGCCGCTGCTCGGTTCCTATCAGAGCATACTGCATTTGATCCGCATGGTGTAGGGTTGCATGGATCTATTATTTCTAAAGGAGGTGGAGCTGTTGGTCTAATATAGCAAGATGTAAATGGGTCACCAACATAACCAGGATCACAAGTACATATAGGAGAATGATTCTGTACGGAGCAGGTTGCATGACTTCCACATATTCCAGGACATGGGTCTATGCACTTGTTTCTTACACATGCAAGAGTATAGGCACAATCAGGGTTGATAGTACATTCTGGTTTACACTCCACGTATGGATCACCAAATAATTCTGGAAGACATCTACATGAAGCGGCTCCATTTCTTTCCTGACATTCTGCATTTGTTCCGCAAGGAGAGGGCTGGCATGGATTGATAATCTCTGGTCTTGGTGTAGTGGCTAAAACAAGTATTAATAGAAAATGAACTCATAACTGGAAATATAATTTTCTAGGTGAAGTGATTTTTGTAGCAATTTGAAATGACCTGAGATGTAAAAAGGGACATGCTTGATTCACAAAATACCCTTTAAACCTTTATCTGATCAATAATTGGAATTATTATATTGTTTGTCTGGCATGAAAAGTGTTGAATTCCATTGTTTTTGTAAAAAAAAGCCACAATTGAAATTAAAAAATGGATATCTTATTAAATCTTGATCAGAAAAGCTTTTAGAGTATTTTAGGGTAAATAAATGCCATATTTTAAATGAAAGGTCACTTTACATCTGGGGTCCCAAAAAGTGTCTTACTTGTAGGTCTGTAGCATTGAGAAAATGGATCCCCTATGTATCCTTGATTACAAATACAGATTGGAACATGGTTTCGAACATTGCAGTAGGCATTTACTCCACAGAGACCAGGGCATGGATCTTGGCACTTCCTATTTATGCATGCTTTCTCTGATGGACAATCAGAATTTACAACACATTCAGGTCTACAGTTGGGAGGAGAACCTATCATCTCTGGTAGGCAAGAGCATTGACATTGTCCTCCATAGTTCCTCGGTGGACTGCTATTGGGTCCACATGGATTTGGAACGCAAGGATCTTCTTCCGCAATATCAGGTTCAATTGCTGTAAAATTTTTGAAGTTTAATCTTTAGAAATGTTGCAAATTGTCTGGGTCATTTTTTTACCTTGCTTAGATTAGAACAGACTTGTAATTAAATTATAAAAAAGATTTAAGTCTGTTTTTGTTATTTCCTTTTTTCCAAGAAAAGCTCAATGTCAAAATTTCATATTACAACCAATTCTAAGATGAAAATGTATGATGACATAATAGAAGGTTTTAGTCGTTAAATTAGACTTACGTAAGGGAGGAAGTCTACATGCTTGGAAAGGATCTCCAATATATCCTGGATCACAGACACAGTTTGGAATATGATTGACAACTGAGCACTTCGCATTTATTCCACAATTGGCTGCAGGGCATGGATCTACACATTTCTGGTTTTGACATGCCTTGTCAGATGGACATTCAGCATTTGTGGTACATTCCGGTCTGCAAGCAACATAGGGATCTCCAAAATATTCTGGTATGCATTGGCAGGCAGCTGCTGTACCTCTTGCTTGACAGTTGGCATTGCTTCCACAAGGGGAAGGATTACAAGGGTCAACTACCTCTGGCTGGCGGGGTGGGACTGAAATTGTTATTATCTAGATTAACTACTGATTATTATTGGAACTTAAAATTACAAAGTCTAACAGTTCATTTACAATTCATTACACAACCATCTTATCTTTGTCCTACTTACGTGTTGTTATAATCCTACAAGAAATAAAACCATCTCCAGTGTACCCTGGGTCACATTTACACATTGGAACATGGTTGGTCACATAGCATGTAGCATGTGCACCGCAAACCCCTGGACATGGATCTCCACACTTATTGTTTATGCATGCCTTATCCCTTGGACATTCAGAGTTGACAGTGCACTCTGGTTTGCATTCCACATATGGATTTCCTATATAATCCCTTATACAACTGCAAGATGCAGCTAATCCTCTATCAGTGCACTCTGCATTTATACCACACGGGCTTGGATTACAAGGTTGAACAACTTCAATAGGCCGAGGAGTGGCTAAAAAAAAAATTAAATTTCAAATGTGATTTTTAATTAAAAGGAATATTTAAATGATAAAATCTAAAGACATGCTCATTCAAATTTCTTTTAAATATTCCGTTTAATTAGTAAAAAGTTTAAAATTGCTTACTCAAAGGTCTATTGCACTGTGAGAAAGGGTCCCCAACATATCCAGGGATGCAAATACAGATTGGAACATGATTTCTAACATTGCAATTGGCATTGATGCCACAGAGACCAGGGCATGGGTCTTGACACTTCCTATTTATGCATGCTTTGTCTGATGGACAATCAGAGTTAACCACACATTCAGGTCTACAGTTGGGAGGAGAACCTATCATTTCTGGTAGACAAGAACAGTCACATCTGTCTCCAATTTGTCTTGGTGGATTGCTGTTTGCTCCACATGGATTTGGATTGCAAGGATCTTCCTCAACGACAGGTTCAACAACTAAAATGAGTTTGTTTTAAAACTAAAGGGAATCCTTATACAATTAATATTTTAAAATGTTATCTAAGACAGTAGTTACACATTGTAGAAATTATAATTTTTTGTTAAAATTATTTTTTTTCAATGTCTGTTGGATAAATTTGGAGAAGATTTCAATGATGATTGACAACCCATATTTTAGTTTTACGCATAAATATTTTTGCCTAGTAAGAAAATATTAAAAGGACAGTAGGCATAATTTCAAGTGACCCTCCATTTTCAGAGTGGCGGATCCCATTCACAACAGTATCTTTTAAACCTTTGACTGATCCAGAATGTCAGACGTATCCTCTTATATCTACTTTTATTTGTAAAACAAAATGTATAATCTTATTCTTTGTACTTCAGAAAACTGCTTCTAAGTAAATATTTAGCAATATGGGACATAATTAGCAAATCAGCTGTTTTGAGTTCACACTTTAAGCAATGTACAACATTTTTACAAGAATTCATGTGCTTTTTGATATATTTACACATACAGGTCTCTGTACTCAATGAATGAAGGTTTAAAAGGTAATCTTTGTGAATTGGATATTTCCCTCTTTGCAAGGAAGGTTACTTGAAACTACACATACGATCTCTGTAAGTAAATAATTTTAACCAAAAATATAAAGTAAATTCATACAATATCTTGTTGTTTATAAAGATGCAATATAATTTATCTAATCTTCAAAATGCAAAAAAAACTTCAATATATTTGTGCATTCCAATCATGCAAAGTGTATGATAAACATGATTTGCTGGATGCAAAAATGCTATAATGCAATATAGAAAAAAAGGGTGATTTAATTGAATGTTATAACTTTGGATTGTATTACATGGCAATTTAAACTAATTCATGAAGGCCCTTATTGAACATTCTCATTCCCAAGCCTTCATGCTTTTGAAAATCAGAAATTTCATAAAATTGCCTATATGTAAAATTTCCTTTAATTACAGAAATTAAAACAGCCTTTAGTCTGACAAAATACCTTCATTTTCAAACAACTAATTTATTGCTTAACTTTTAAATGCAAACTTACTCAGGGGAGGTTGTCTACATGCACTAAATGGATCTCCTATATATCCTACAATGCAAGTGCAAGATGGTACATGATTCAATACCCGGCATTCAGCATTGATACCACATGTACCCGGGCATGGATCAATACACTTGTTCCTCTGGCATGCTTTATCAGAGGGACAATCTGAGTTTACAACACATTCAGGTCTGCATGCTACATAAGGATCTCCAAAGTATTCTGGGATGCATTGACAAGCTGCTGCACGGTTTCTGTTCTGGCAAACTGCATTAGATCCACAAGGTGTTGGATTGCATGGGTCAACTACTTCCACAGGTATGAATGCTGAAAAATATAAAATAAAAACTATAATTGAGATTATTCTAGACAAGACTTCAAAATGGTTGTCACCTGTAGTGATCCTAGTACAATATCTGAAAGGGTCTCCTTCATATCCAGGATCACATGTACATCTTGGCTGGTGTGAAATTGTTCTACAAGATGCATATGTTCCACATACTCCGGGACAAGGATCAACACACTTGTTTCTGACACAAGCTTTATCATCCGAGCATTCTGGATTTATTGAACACTCTGGTTTGCATTCTATGTATGGATTTCCAAACATTTCAGGTAGACATGTGCAGGAAGCAGCGCCATTTCTTTCCTGACACTCTGCATTAATTCCACAAGGAGAGGGCTGGCAGGGATTGATTATCTCAGGTCTTGGTGTAGTGGCTAAAACAAATTAGAAAATAATTTCAACGTCAAAAATATTAAAAAATCATTTACAATAAAAAATCTGTAAACAAAAATTTACTTACTTATAGGTCTGTTACACTGAAAAAATGGATCCCCAATGTATCCATTCAAACAGATACAGAGGGGTAGATGATTTCTGACTTCACATCTGGCATTGATGCCACAAAGACCAGGGCATGGATCTTGGCATTTCCTATTTATACATGCTTTGTCAGATGGACAATCAGAGTTAATTACACATTCAGGTCTACAGTTGGGAGGAGAACCTATCATCTCTGGTAGACATGAGCATTGACATTGACCTCCATAGTTCCTTGGTGGACTGCTGTTGGGTCCACAAGGATTAGGATCACAAGGATCATCTTCGGCAACTATTGGTTCAATAACTAAACAAATAAAAATATTTAAAGATTGAAAAACATATAAATAAAGGATATATAGAAAAAAATATATACTTTGAGGAGGAAGCCTGCAAGCAGTAAAGGGGTCTCCAGTATATCCAGGAAAACAACTGCAGGTAGCTCTATGGTTTACTACTCTACACTCTGCATTTACACCACACAAACCAGGACATGGGTCAATACATTTCATGTTCTGACATGTTTTGTCAGAAGGACATTCTGGGTTGGTAGTACATTCAGGTCTGCATGCAACATATGGATCGCCAAAGTACTCAGGAATACACTGGCAAGCAGCTGCACGGTTTCTGTCAGAACAAATTGCATTGGATCCACAGGGAGTAGGGTTGCAGGGATCAACAATTTCAGTAGGTGTTGCTTGTGTGGTGATTCTCTGACATGCCACAAAAGCATCTCCAAAATATCCAGGGTCACATTTGCATGTTGGGAGATGATTGGTCACATGACAAGATGCAAACGCTCCACAAACTCCTGGACAAGGGTCCACACAATGCTGGTTTAGACAGGCTTGGTCCCTAGGGCATTCAGCATTGACAGTGCACTCTGGTTTACATTCAATATAAGGATTTCCAATATAGTCACTAATGCAAGAACAAGATGCTGCCCCTCGTTGCTCAGAACATTCAGCATTACGTCCACAGGGTGAAGGATTGCATGGCTGTACAATCTCAATTGGTCGGTTGGTAGCTAAAAAATATCTATTAGTATCAAGTCTTTAAATAAATACTAATCTTATTTAGTAAAAAATGTATGTAAAATAAACCTACTTGTTGGTCGTTGACAGCTTTCAAATGGGTTTCCAGTATATCCTTGGTTGCAAATACAGATGGGAACATGGTTTCTAACACTGCAGTAAGCATTAAGTCCACATAGACCAGGACAAGGATCAACACATTTTTGCTGTCTGCATGTCTTATCTGTTGGACAGTCTTGGTTGTGCACACATTCAGGCCTGCAGTTAGGAGGAGAACCTATCATTAATGGTAGACAAGAGCAATCGCATCTATCTCCATTCAGTCTTGGCGGAAGAGTATTAGGTCCACATGGGTTAGGATTACATGGGTCTTCTTCTACTACTGGTTCTATAACTAAAAATGCATTTTACTACCATGCAAATTCATGCAAAAAAATAATTTAATGTAATATAAACATTTTCTGAAATATACATTTTTGAAAAAACCCATGACAAAAATGCATGCATCCCATAAAAGAGCAATAACTTACTTAGAGGAGGTTGTCTACACTCAACAAATGGATCCCCTAAATACCCTTGGAAACAGGTACAGGTTGGGATATGATTTCTTACAGTGCATAGTGCATTAATACCACATGTACCCGGGCAAGGATCAATACACTTGTTCCTCTGGCATGCTTTATCAGAGGGACAATCTGAGTTTACAACACATTCAGGTCTACATGCTACATAAGGATCTCCAAAGTATTCTGGGATGCATTGACAAGCTGCTGCACGGTTTCTGTTCTGGCAAACTGCATTAGATCCACATGGTGTTGGATTGCAAGGATCAATTACTTCTAGTTTTGGCGGTACTAAAAAGAAATAGTATTAAGATAAAAAATAAAAGATAAAATTATGTTTGATTTCTTACATGTTGTTTTTGGGTAGCAGGCTGAGAAAGGATTCCCTTCATAACCAGGATTACATTGACAATTTGGATAGTGATTACGTACTTCACATGTAGCTTGAATACCGCATACTCCAGGACATGGATCAGCGCACTTGTTCTGAATACAAGCAAGGTTTGAGGCACATTCTTGGTTTATGGTACATTCAGGTTTACATTCAATGTAGGGGTTTCCAAACATTTCAGGGAGACAAGTACAAGCTGCAGCTAAATTTCTCTCTGTGCATACAGCATTTGTTCCACAAGGGCTTGGGGAACAAGGGTCTATCACATTTGGCAATGTTGCTGAAAAAAAAAGATTTTAATTAAATAATGATTCATAAAAGTTAAAGACATATTCTTATGTATGTATATCTACTTACAAGGTGGTAAGTTACAACTAGAGAATGGGTCCCCAATATATCCTTGGTTACATATACAGATTGGGACATGGATTCGAACATTGCAGTAAGCATTCACTCCACAGAGACCAGGGCATGGGTCTTGACACTTCCTGCTTATACAAGCTTTGTCTGACGGACAATCTGAGTTTATAAAGCATTCAGGTCTACAGTTAGGGGGAGATCCAGTCATTTCAGGCAGACAAGAACATTTACAGTCACCGTTGATTGTTTGTGGGGGATATGAGTTTGGGCCACAAGGGTTTGGATCACAAGGATCTCGCTCATCAATCACAGGTTCAATAGCTAAAACAATATAATATTAACTCAATAAATTCAATTTTTCAAGTTTTTTAAATAAAAGCAACTTACGTATTGGCTGAAGTCTACAGTTAGAGAATGGGTCTCCTATATATCCTTCAATGCAGGTACAGGTAGGTATATGGTTGATAACTCTGCATTCAGCATTGATTCCACATAATCCAGGACATGGATCTATGCATTTATTCCTTTGGCATGCTTTGTCTGATGGACAATCTGCATTGATGGTACATTCAGGTCTGCATGCTACATATGGATCCCCAAAATATTCTTCAATGCATGTGCATGCTGCTGCTCCATTTCTATCAGAGCATAGAGCATTAGATCCACATGGAGATGGGTTACAAGGATCTGGTCTCTGTGTTATTTGTGGTGGAGCTAAAAAGAAGAATATTTTAATTAACTTAACAAGTTAATTATGAAATGATTTGAGTGTTTGCCACAAACTCTGATTTTTTAATCCCAATATCTTTGCAAACCAATATTGTAGACCTCAGATATTTTAAACAATGAATTCTGTTAGATCAAATGATCTAAGTTCAAAATAACCATCATTTACACTGTCAGATTGCACAGCTTTATGGATTAGAAAATTTGAGTTTGTGGCAAAGACTCAATTCCTTTTAAATTTAAAAACATAATTTTAGAAAACAACTTACGTGTGGTAATTCTTTGACATGAATAGAACGCATTTCCCTCAAAGCCTGGGTCACATTTGCATTGAGGAGAATGGTTTGTAACAAAGCAGGATGCATGAGCTCCACAAACACCAGGGCAAGGGTCCAAACAGTGCTGGTTTACACATGCCAGATTACTGGGACACTCTTGGTTACTGATACACTCTGGTTTACATTCAACATAAGGGTTTCCAGTATAATCCCTTATGCATTTACAGGATGCTGCCTGGTTTCTCTCTGTACAGTCTGCATTTATACCACATGGCGATGGATTACAAGGTTGAATTATCTGTATTGGTCTCTGAGTTGTTGTGGTAGGATTACAAGTAGAAAATGGATCACCAATGTAGTTTCTGTTACATGCACAGATTGGTATATGATTTCTTACTCGACAGTTAGCATTAACACCACAAACCCCAGGACAGGGATCAATACACTTCTGATTTTGACAAGCCTTGTCATCAGGACAATCTGAGTTTAGAGTACATTCTGGATGACAGTTCGGAGGCAATCCAAGCATACCAGGTCGGCAGGAACAATCACATCTATCTCCATTAACTCTTGGAGGATTACTATACTGTCCACAAGGATTAGGCTCACATGGATCATCTGCTTCAATTGCTTCAATAATTTGAGGTCTGAGTCTGCACTCTGTAAATGGATCCCCTATATAGCTATCAAAGCAAATACAGGTTGGAATGTGGTTTCTAACATCACATTGAGCATTGATACCACAAACACCTGGACATGGATCAATGCATTTGTTTCTCTGACATGCTTTGTTTAGAGGACATTCTGAGTTTACAACACATTCAGGTCTGCATGCAACATAAGGATCTCCAAAGTACTCAGGTATACATTGACAAGCTGCTGCACGATTTCTATTCTGGCAGACTGCATTTGATCCACAAGGAGATGGATTGCAGGGATCAACTACTTCTGTTACAACCGGTGGTGCTAAGAAAATAAAAATTTAAATTTTGATATGGAAAACCAGAAAAATTATAAAAAAGCAACAAAAAGTATATAAAGAAAAATCATTATATAAGTTTAAATAAATGTCTAAAGGAACTGAGTTTTTGCCGCAAACCTTGATTTGTTAATCCCTATATCTTTGCAACACAATGTTGTAAACCTTTCAAACTATTAATTCTGTTAGATCAAATAATCAAAGTTTGAAATATCAAAAGTTGAAAAGATAAAGGGATTAGAAAATTCTAGTTTTAATATGGTCTGACCAACTAATGGTTACCTTACACCATTTAAGTAATTTGCATAGATTTATGAACCTAACAAAACAACATTTGTTTTTACAATATTACGTAAAACGACTTACGGGTGGTTTTAAGTGAGCAGGAAGTGAAAGGATCTCCAGTGTATCCAGGATTGCATTTACAAATAGGATAGTGGTTGTTAACTTCGCAAGTAGCTTGAATACCACATACTCCCGGACATGGATCTGCGCACTTATTCTGCATACAAGCAAGGTTTGAGGCACATTCTTGGTTTATGGTACATTCAGGTTTACATTCAATGTAGGGGTTTCCAAAAAGTCCTGGTAGGCAAGTACAAGCAGCAGCTTGGTTTCTCTCCCTACATTCTGCATTGACACCACAAGGGGATGGGCGACATGGATCAATGATTTCAGGTCTAGCAGGGGTTGCTGAAATTGATTTAAATAAGTATTTTGAACTATGAAGTAAAAAATTAGTATTAAGTATAAAGGTATTGCTACTCACTTCTTTCTGGGTCACACTGTGTAAATGGGTCCCCATTGTAATTTCTATTACAAACACAGATTGGAATGTGATTCCTTACTCTACAAATAGCATTGATTCCACACAGCCCTGGGCATGGGTCTTGACATTTTCTATTGGTGCAGGCTTGATCAGATTGACAATCCGAGTTGATAATGCACTCTGGTCTGCAGTTGGGAGGAAACCCTTTCATGTCTGGCAAACATGCACATTTACACTCATCCCCTTGCCGTTGTGGAAATTGTGAATTTGGTCCACAGGGATTTGGTTCACATGGATCTTCTTCTACTACTGGCTCTATGGCTAAATTAAAAGTACTGTACATGCAAATATTCTATAAAAATTCTAAGATGCACATATTAAATGATAATTTTATAGTGTTGCAAAATTAAAAAATCTACAACTTACGTATCGGCCGAAGTCTACAGTTTGAGAATGGGTCCCCTTCATATCCTTCAATACAGGTGCAGGTAGGAATATGGTTGATAACTCTGCATTCAGCATTAACTCCACATAATCCAGGACATGGATCTACGCATTTATTCCTTTGGCATGCTTTGTCAGAGGGACAATCTGCATTGATGGTACATTCAGGTCTGCATGCTACATATGGATCCCCAAAATATTCTTCAATGCATGTGCATGCTGCTGCTCCATTTCTATCAGAGCATAAGGCATTCAATCCACATGGAGATGGATTACATGGATCTGGCCTTTGGGTTGGTATAATGGGTGCTGAAATATAAACATGCATTAGTGCCTACAAAATTTTAGAGCTCAATCACTCATGCATTACAACCATTCAAAGTGCAAGATCAAATCAACAATCAAATAATCTAAAACTTACTTGTTACCCTCTGGCATGCTATAAATGCATTTCCAGTATAACCTGGATCACAACTACATGAAGGTGCATGATTTTGTACAGAGCATGATGAAAATGCTCCACATATCCCGGGGCAGGGATCCCTGCATTTTTCATTCACACATGCTAGGTTTCTAGGACATTCAGAGTTGGAAATACATTCTGGTTTGCATTCAATATAAGGATTCCCTATATAGTCTAGCCTACAAATGCATGAAGCAGCTCCATTTCTTTCCGTACAATCTGCGTTGACCCCACAAGGAGAGGGGGAGCAAGGATAGTAAACCTCTACTGGTCTAGAAGTTGCTAAAAAGTTTAAATGTCATTATAATGCAATTATTGTCTTAATAAGTTTTTTTTCTTACTTGTAATAAGAGAACACTGTGAAAAAGGGTCTCCCTCATATCCTGGATTACATATGCAGATTGGGACATGGTTTCGAACCTTACAGACTGCATTGAAACCACATAATCCAGGACAGGGATCATTACATCTGTTCTGGGAACAGGTTTTTTCCAAAGGACAATCTGCATTGAATTGACATTCAGGTCTACAGTTTGGTGGTGAGCCAATCATTTGTGGCAGGCACATGCAGTCACATCTACCCCCAATATTTCTAGGTGGTGTTGTATAAGATCCACAAGGATTCGGGATGCAAGGATCTTCAGCTACAACAGGCTCTATAGCTAAAACATGCAAAATTCAAAATTGAAAATGTTTTAAAAATAAATTCAAAGTATTTCATGCTAATAATTCTTTAAAAAACTCACGAATAGGTACTAGTCTACAGGAAGTGAATGGATCTCCAATGTACCCTTCAATACAAGAACAAGTGGGAATATGATTTAGAATTCTACATGCAGCATTAATACCACATGTGCCAGGACAAGGATCAATACATTTGTTCCTTTGACATGCTTTGTCAGAGGGGCAATCTGAGTTTACAACACATTCAGGTCTACATGCTACATAAGGATCTCCAAAGTATTCTGGGATGCATTGACATGCTGCTGCATGGTTTCTTTCTGAACAAATAGCATTGGATCCACAAGGGGATGGATTGCAGGGATCCACAGGACGAGTAACCGCAGGAGGGGCTAAAAAAAAGGTAATTTATGTTTAATTCTTTTATAAGATTAAAATTATTAGTGAAATAGTTCATACTTGTAGTTCTGACACAAGAAGAAAATGGATCTCCATAAAACCCAAAATCACAGATGCATGTTGGATTGTGGAATTGTAATTTACATCTAGCATTCTGACCACATACTCCTGGACATGGGTCAACACATTTCTGTTGAACACATGCAAGGTGATCTTGACATTCTGTGTTTAATGTGCACTCTGGTTTACATTCAATATATGGGTTTCCTTGAAGCCCAGGCAGACATATACAAGCTGCAGCCAAGTTTTGTTGCCTACACTCTGCATTTACGCCACAAGGAGAGGGGTTGCAGGGGTTTATGATCTCAGGTTGAGATGTTGTGGCTAAAAATAAAAAAGGATATAATTTTACTATTCCAAAAATATTATTTTAAGTTTCAAACTTACTTTCAACTCTGTTGCATTGATAAAAGGGATCTCCATTAAATCCTCTATTACAAATACATATTGGAATGTGATTACGCACATTACAATAAGCATTGCTTCCACATAATCCTGGACATGGGTCTTCACATTTCCTGTTTATGCAGGCTTTATCTGACGAACATTCATTATTGATGACACATTCAGGTCTACAGTTTGGCGGAGACCCAATCATTTGAGGTTGGCAAGTGCATTGACAAGTATCTCCGTTGGATCTTGGGGGGGTACTGTTTGGTCCACAAGGGTTAGGATTGCATGGATCTTCAACCACAACAGGAGCAAAAGCTAAAACACAATTGTGTCATTTTAAATTTCAGTGTAAAATTGTTTTACAATTCAGTACTTACTTGGTGGTATAAACTGACATGAAACAAAGGGATCTCCTACAAATCCTTGGTTACATGAACATGTTGCTATATGGTTAACAACTCTGCAGACTGCATTGGTTCCGCATAGACCTGGGCATGGATCTGTACATTTGTAGTTCCTGCATGCTTCAGTAGCAGGACATTCTGAGTTGATAGTACATTCTGGTCTGCAAGCAACATAAGGATCTCCAAAGTAACCAGGAATGCATGTGCATGCTGCTGCCCTGTTCCTGGTATTGCAAAGTGCATTTTCTCCGCAAGGAGATGGTGTACATGGGTCAATTGATTCAGTAATCCTTGGAGGTACTAAACAAAGAATTTTTTTTATATTTTCAACAAATAAAAATTCTGATCAGTTTAAATTTTTTTTAATTCATTTAACTTACATGTTGTTATTCTTTGACAGGAGACAAAAGCATCCCCAGTGTATCCTTGATCACATTTGCATAAAGGCAAATGATTTGTCACAAAACAAGAAGCAAATACTCCACAAACTCCAGGACAAGGATCTTTACACTTCTGGCCAATGCATGCAAGGTCTCTTGGGCATTCAGTATTGACAACACACTCTGGTTTACATTCAATATAGGGGTTTCCAATGTAGTCTGGAATACATGAACAGGAAGCTGCTCTAGTATTGGATTGGCAAATAGCATTTATTCCACAAGGAGAGGGATTACATGGTTCTATGACTTCTGGTCTGGTTGTAGCTGATAAGAAAAAAAATAAAAGAAAAATCTAAATTTAATTTAAAAATCAAAAAAGAAATTCTTTCTTACTTGTTATTCTTTGACACTGTAAGAAGGGATCACCATAAAAGTTCTTGTTGCAAACGCAAATGGGAATATGGTTTTGGACTCTGCAAAATGCATTTATACCACAAAGACCAAAGCAAGGATCAGCACACTTTTGCAGTTGGCATGCTTTATCAGTGGAACAGTCTTGATTAACTGTGCATTCAGGTCTGCAATTTGGTGGTGTTCCTGTCATTTCAGGTAAACAGGAGCATTTGCATTCAACTCCTAAACTTCTTGGAGGGTTAGAATAAGGTCCACAAGGATTTGGATTACAGGGATCTTCAGCAATAGCAGCCTCAGCTACAAATACATTGAAAATTGTCAAAAAATTATACCTTTAAACAAAATTTAATTACTTACTTTTGGGTCTAAATCTACAGGACATGAAGGGATCCCCTTCATACCCTGGGATACAAGAGCACATTGCTAAGTGGTTTCTGACAGTACACTGTGCATTGATACCACATGTACCCGGGCAAGGATCAATACACTTGTTTCTCTGGCATGCTTTATCAGAGGGACAATCTGAGTTTACAACACATTCGGGTCTGCATGCCACATAAGGATCTCCAAAGTATTCCGGGATGCATTGACAGGCTGCTGCCCTATTTCTAGCTTGGCAAATAGCATTATCTCCACAGGGAGTTGGGTTGCAGGGATCTACAACTTCTGTTCTGGGAGGAATAGTCGTTTTGAAGTTACAACTTCTGAAAGGATCACCCTCATAGCCAGGATCACAGATACAGCTTGGAGTATGATAATTAACCCTACAGGTTGCATGCACTCCGCATACCCCTGGGCAAGGATCAATACATTTATTCTGTACACAAGCCAAGTCGGATTTACATTCTGGATTTGTAGTGCATTCTGGCTTACATTCTACATATGGATCACCAAATAGATTTTGAATGCATGTACAAGAAGCGGCTCCTCTCTGTTCTCTGCATTCAGCATTTACCCCACAAGGAGATGGACGACAAGGATCAATTATTTCAGGTTTAGCAGGAGTAGCTAAATGAACATCAATTTAGTTGATATAAGATAAATTTTGCTATCAAATTAAAAGATACTCACTATTAATAACAAAGCACTGTGAAAATGGATCTCCATCAAAACCTGGATGGCATACACAAATAGGAACATGATTTGTTACTCTACAGTTAGCATTTAATCCACAAAGTCCAGGACATGGGTCGACACAATGGTTTCCAATGCAGGCTTGGCTACTTTGACATTCAGAATTAACCAAACATTCTGGTCGACAATTTGGTGGTGATCCTATCATAGTGGACTGACATGAGCAATCACATCTTCCTCCTATTTGTCTTGGTGGGTTACTGTTAGATCCGCAAGGGTTGGGTTCACATGGATCAGAAACTACTGCTTCTGTTGCTACAAATGTATAAGTTAAGTTCATGCTGAAATTAATTCAAATAATTGAAAGATCAAAGCATGCATTGACCTCCTTATAAATTTATACTTACGCAGGGGATTAAGTTTACATGCTGAGAATGGATCTCCAGAGTAACCATTTGGACAAGTGCATGTGGGAAAATGATTTTGAACAGTACAGACTGCATTAGGTGCACAAATTCCAGAGATGCAAGGATCAATACATTTCATGTTCTTTAAGCATTTGGGTTGAAAGAAAAAAATCGTATAATAATTCGTTTCATAAAATTTAAAAGATAAGATTTTTCCTAGCTTAAAGGGACTATAAGTGTAATCTCTAGTCTATGCAAGCATGACAATGCTGGATTTACAACGGTAACCTTGAAACCTTAATTTGATCAAAAATGTAGGATACTTTTGTTTTTCTGACCTAAATAGTGTTTATCTCTGATAATTTCTCTATTACTACTTATAAGCAAGAAATATGCATGTCACTTTTGCAGAGAACCTGCAAATGATAATAAACTGTTGTAAATTGGGCATTGCCACATTTGCATCCACTCCCTTTTGGTATGCTTTTTCTAAATTTGTTCAACAAAAAGGCTAAATTTTTCACAATCCAAATATTCCTGGCATGCTTTTATAGATACACAATCAGAATGCACTAAGCATTCTGGTCTGCATTCAGTGTATGGATCTCCAAAGTATCCATCAATGCACAAACATGCTGCTGCACCATTCCTCTCCATGCATCTTGCATTTGTTCCACAAGGTGAAGGGTTGCAAGGTTCAATCCTTTGAGTGCTAGTTCTTGGTGGTGGTACTAAAATACATTCATTCAATTCACGTGCAATTCATTTCAATCATAAATCTAATCTAACAAGGGAACTATCAAAATCAAGCAAATTTGTTCAAGTTCCTTTGAAAGCATGCATATCGTGCACAAGGTCTAAGCATGCTATGATTGGTTCACCAAAATAATTCTTACATAAAAATGCCTTGCTCCCCATATATATGGGGGGGGGTTTGTTTACAGCACACTTAGATCCTGGACAAGGCCCTCAAAATAGCACTAAGGGCAGAAGAAGCAGAAAGACACAATGAACACCAGAAGCAGAAACTGTGGAGGAAATTTCGCTTCCCTTATTTGATCTTAACCTAACTTATCTTACTTAAGCAACATCTATAGCATCAATCAATTCAACAATATAAATAAAAAAACATATTGACTACCTGTATGTCAATATTTGTTTATGTTTAACCTATTTTCTTTATAAGAACCTGTTTATAGTTTGATAATTAAAGACACAAATAAAAATAAAGTCTCAAATAAAAAAGGGATGATATATGTATATATAAACGTACACTTTTAAATCATTGAAACTAGCTTACAGCAATTTATTTGAGGCAATACAAACACTAAAATGTTTGTTTATGTTTAAGAAAATCTTGCCAGATAGTTTCAAAGAAACATGCTAACAAAACTTATTCATAATAAAAAAGTAAAAAAAACATGCTGTACTCACTCGTTGTAATCCTCCGGCAGCCGGTAAATGGATCTCCTTCGAACCCAGCCTGGCATCGACAGATAGCATTGTGCATGATCACTGAACACTCTGCTCCGGATCCACAAGCTCCGGGGCATGGGTCACGACACTTTTCATCAATGCAAGCTAGATTACTAGCACATTCACTGTGTATTAAGCACTCAGGCCTGCAGTTGGGCGGTGACCCAATATAACCTGGCAAGCAGGAGCAGGCAGCTATTTCACCAACATTACGGCACTGTGCATATCTGCCACATGGGTCAGGCTCACAAGGATCTGTTACAATCGGAGCTGTAACACGCTCTGTGGTCACTAAAATAAAAAAGCTTTCAATACATTATTGTAATTTGAAATTCTACATGAAATGACTAAAAAGCTAAATACTTGCCACACATTTTAATTTTCTTTTCCTTATATCTTGCAGCTGAATGTTGAAGGCTTTTGATTTTTTAAACTTAATTCAGTAATATCAAATGATCTAAGTTTGAAATATTAAAGGTTTAGCCATGAGGGCACAAAGATAAATAACAAACTTTTATAAATACTTTCTGAATTCTTGGAATTTTAGATTATTTAAATTATTTAATTTCCTTAAATAATATGTATTTGATTAAGATAGTATAAATAGTAATTTTAGGCTGATTTAGATGTTTAATTATGATCTTAACTTGTTTTTATTGCTTTTGGATAAAATCTGATCACTTTTGAAAAAATTCTAATTGTTTGAATAATGCTTATTCTTAAACAATAAATTTACCTGGTATAATGTTGCACCCAGAAAATGGATCTCCTTCATACCCCCTTAGACAAGAACATATTGGATTGTGATTTGTAACACGGCATTCAGCATTTCTTCCACATAATCCAGGGCATGGATCCCGGCATTTCTGACCAATGCAAGCTGTGCTTTGAGAACATTCAGAGCTAACCAAGCATTCAGGCCTACAGTTAGGGGGTGAGCCAATCTTATCTGGCTCACATGAACAAACACATACTCCATTTTGCTCCTTTTTCTGACTGTGGGGTCCACATGGATCTGGATCACAAGGGTCAAGCTCTTCAACAACAGGTACTCCAGTTGGGACCAGCGAGCATTGGGTTATAGCGTCTCCTGTATATCCATCAAGGCATGTACAGACTGGCATGTGTCTATTTGTGATACAGATTGCATTGATACCACAGGTTCCTGGGCAAGGATCAATACACTTATTATTGACACAAGCTCGATCAGTTGGGCAGTCTTGGTTAAGAACACATTCTGGTCGGCAGGCTAAGTATGGGTCACCAAAATATCCTGGCTCACAAGTACATGCTCCTGCTCTGTTAAGAGATCTACAGAGTGCATTAGCACCACAGGGTGTAGGTTCACATGGATCCAAAAATTCAGTTGTTCTAACAGTAGTTGTTTGAACATCTCTTCTGCATTCTCTGAAAGGATCACCAGTGTATCCAACTGGGCATTTACAGATTGGTTGATGATTAACAACCTGGCATTCAGCATTTGGCCCACAGGAACCTGGACAAGGGTCGATACATTTCTCATTAAGGCAAGCCTTGTCCTTTGAACACTCTGCATTAATTACACATTCTGGCCGGCAGTTTGGAGGTATTCCAATGTAATTAGGTAGACAGGAGCAAGCAGCAATTTCTTGAGAATTCTTGCATTGAGAATAAGGTCCACAGGGGTTGGGTTGGCAGGGGTTAACAGGTCTCTCCACAACAGTTGGCTCAGTCACTGGTATCTTTGAACAACCACTAAATGGGTCACCAGTGTATCCTGGGGGACACTGACAAATAGGATTGTGGTTGACCACTTGACATCTAGCATTATTACCACAAGATCCTGGGCACGGGTCACGGCACTTCTGTTCAAGACAAGCAGTAAGCTGAGAACAATCAGAGCTTACCACACACTCTGGTCTGCAGTCTGGGGGAGTTCCAATGTAGGTTGGCAAACAGGAGCAGACACACACTCCATTGATTTCCTTATGCTGACTGTTTGGCCCACAAGGATCCGGATCACAGGGTTCAGTTTCCGCCTCAATTGGATCAACTTCAGGAATAAGCTGACAGGAAGAAAGGGGATCACCAGAATATCCTAGATTACAGGTACAGATGGGATTATGATTTCTTACTGTACACTGGGCATTAACTCCACAAGAACCAGGACAAGGATCTTGACATTTCTTCTGAACACAGGCAAGGTGGTTTGGACACTCTGTGTTTATCAAACATTCAGGTCTGCATCCAACATATGGATCACCTATATGCTCAGGAATACACTTGCATGCTCCAGCTCGATTAAACTGGGAACATTCAGCATTTGCTCCACAAGGGGAAGGATTGCAGGGATCAACAACTTCTGGTGGGTTCGTAATAGCTTCAGGGATCAGGGAACAACCATTGAATGGATCACCAGTATATCCAGCAGGACAAACACAAATGGCATTGTGATTTACAGCCGTACATCTAGCATTGTACCCACAGGCACCTGAGCATGGGTCAACACATCGATTCTGGATACAAGCCTTGTTACTTGGGCATTCTGCATTTAGCACACACTCTGGTCTACAGTTCGGAGGACTACCAATATACCTAAACAATTTACATGATATGAACGAAAAAAACAGTAATAGTTTACAATGTAATTTGGTAATGATACTTACCCTTGAATACATGTGCATGCTTCATGGCCATTGACCTCTCTACACATGGCATTAGGTCCACAAGGTGAGGGTACACAGGGTATATGAGGCTGAGGTGGGGGTAGGTAAACCTCAGGTTCTTTTATACAATTGAAGAAGGGATCTCCAGTATATCTGTTAGGACAGCTGCAGATGGGGTTATGGTTAACAACCTTAAAAAAAACATTTTAGAGACTAGAATTTGTATTCATCAATTGTGTATTTTGGATTTGAATTGGTGATGAAATTCTGTCCTTTTATTCTTTTATTAATCATTCACTTTGATGTGATAAATCAATGTACCTTGCATTCAGCATTGGCTCCACATGTTCCAGGGCAGGGATCTTTACACTTATTCTGTACACAAGCTTGGCTCAAAGGACAATCCGAACTGAAAAAAAATAGTTTTCATTAGGTTTTCTAAAAGTTTTAAGGGTTTGAATTATAAACACATGAATACGATATTAAGAATTGAAATGTAAAAAGTTCCTCTGATTCCTGGCATTAATGGTAGCATTTTAAAAGAACTTAGTTCTTGCCACACACTCTGATTTTCTAATCCTTACACTTTATACCCAATGTTGTAGGCCTTTGATATTTCAAATTTTAATTCTGTTAGATAAAAAAATCTAAGTTTGAAATATCAAAGGTTCACACCATCAGGTTGCAAAGATAAATAGTTTTGAAAATTTGAGAATGTGCCAAAAATAGTTTACATAGTTTACCAAAGGTGGGAACTCTAGCTTTGTTGATATTAAAATCAATGTTTGATCTTGATTTTGTTAATCTACAGATTTGCCTTATCTTTATTCAATTTCCTCCAAACGAGGATGTCTGTGATAAACGAACAGCCAATTGGAAGCTGGGGAAATTTGCTCACAACCAATAAGAGAACAAATAAATCCAAAATCATGAGATCAAGCAGGTTCTGCATAAAATTCACAAGTGCACACTGTGGAAATCAAGATCAAGTGATTGAGATGATGTCTGATAATAATCATTTTTACCTGAGTAAGCATTCTGGTCTGCAGTTTGGTGGAGAATCAAAATATCCCAGTAAACAAGAGCAAACTGGTCTACTTCCTTCCGGTCTACACTCACTGTTAGGACCACATGGATTTGGGTAGCAAGGATCAGTAGGTTCCTCCACTACAGGTTCAACTAAACAAATTACATCTTATTTCCTGATAAAATAAATTTTGAATCAATGCTAACTCTACATTGACAGATCTATGATTATATGGATGGTTATACTAAGGCTATAAATATGATATTGTGCAATTAAATGTAAAATTTCAAGACATTTTTCTTATTTTTTTTTTAAAGAACTGGGGTTTTTGCTACAAACTTGAATTTTCTAATCACTATATCTCGACAACTTGATGGTGTAAACCTTTGATATTTCAAACTTAAATTATTTGATCTAACAGAATTCATAGTTTGAAATATCAAAGGTCTGCGAGATTGGGTTGTATAGATAACAGGATTAGAAAATCTGAGTTTGTGGCAAAGACTTAATTCCTTTCTAACAACTGATCTATGATAACTAGCTAGTGAACAAACATTCATGCATCGTACAAGTTGTGAGTATTTTCAAGATTTAAGATATAAATATATGAATCATACTGAAGTTAAAATTAAAACTTTGAACATGGTTTATGAAATTGATTAAACTAGAATCTATGATATAAATGCAATGTTAGAACTAATGCTTACCCGGTATCTGTGAACACTGTCTAAAAGGATCTCCTCTGTATCCAGGGTTGCATGTACAGGTTGCAATATGATTTATAACCTGACATCTAGCATCTACCCCACAGATGTTAATGCAAGGGTCAACACATTTAAGATTACTACATGCTTTGTTAGCTGGGCATTCAGTATTGGTTGTACATTCAGGTCTGCACTGAGAGTAGGGATCTCCAAAGTAACCCCTGATGCAGGTGCAGCTAGCGGCGCGCTGGTTGGATTGACATTCAGCATTGGCTCCGCAGGGGCTGGGGTAGCAGGGATCTCTGGGGGCTTCAATGGGCTGAATGACTTCAGGGACCTTGGTGCACTGTCGAAATGGATCTCCATCATATCCCGGACGACATTTGCAGATAGCTAAATGGTTTCTTACAGTACAATCAGCATTTAACCCACATGCTCCATCACAAGGTTCTTTGCATTTCTGCTGTACACATGCCTGAGTTTTAGGACATTCATCATTGATAACACATTCAGGTCTACAATTCGGGGGAGATCCCTGATAGCCTGGGTTACAAGAACACATAGGAGTTGAACCTAGTGGTCTGCATGCTGAATTAGGCCCGCACGGGTTTGGGAAACATGGGTCAGTAGGTTGAATTGGTGGAATGATTGTAGCAGGCTTCTTCTGACAATTCCTGAATGGATCACCCTCATAGTCTGGTAAACAAGAACAGATAGGATGATGGGATATCACATTACATCTGGCGTTCACTCCGCATCTTCCGGGGCAAGGGTCTTCACAGCGTTGATTGAGACAAGCCTTATCCTGAGAGCACTCGGAGCTAACCACACACTCTGGTCTACAATTGGGAGGAGAACCAAAATATCCTGTCTGACAAGTACATATACATTGGTTCCCAGCTACGCGCTGTTCAGAGAATGAGCCACAGAAATTGTTACCACATGGATCTTCTTCTGATATAACTCCTTCGGCTGTTTATGCAAAAAATACTGGGTTATCAAAATGTTTTTCAATAAGTAAATTATAAAATATTTTCCTTTCAAAATCCCCATTGATAGTGACAAATGTTTTAAAAATTTCTATTTATAACTTAAAATGCTTACGTTGCTTATGACATTCTTCAAATGCATTTCCAGTGTAACTCCTCTGGCATGTACATGTTGGTACATGATTTAAAACAGTGCATTCTGCATTAATTCCACATGTATCAATGCATGGATCCATGCATTTGTTTTGTACACAAGCTTGGGATTTGCTGCAATCAGAGTTCAGAAGACACTCCGGTCTACAGCCTAGGTACGGGTCTCCAAAAAGATCATCAGGACAGGAGCAGACGCAGATTCCATTCCTAACCTCGTGGTTGGCTCTTGATCCACAGGGACTTGGTTCACAAGGATCCGAGACAGGTCTTGGTGGCTCCACATCTGTGAAGGGTTAGAAGGTTTATTACTAGATGCTCAATGCAAACTATGTTTGTTACAACTAAGGTGGGTCAAGGTGCAAATAATACTAAAATCTACAAACAAGTGCTATAAAATTGGAGAATCTTATTTTAGAGCTGAGACATGCAAATAATTTTCATAATTAATTGAACAAATTTGGCCAATATCATTTTCAATCTTAAACTTACGAAAAATCAAATATTATAAAAAGCATTAAACATACAGTGTGTCTCAACAAAACAAGATTATTTGCTAGAGAATGTCATTTTGTTTCTCTGGGTATACATTTCTAAACCTAGTTTTACAATAATGATTTATGGTACAGTTATCAAAACACCTTTAATCCTGACATTTCCAAAAGCCATTAAAGTCATTTTATCAAATACCAAAGACAATTTCAAGTCTTCTCTTAGTTATAATGTTTTGTGAAACACACTGTATATAGTCTCCTAGAGTTAAACTGTAGACAGGGCTAAATAAAAGTTGGCTCCAAAGTAATTGAAATAAAAGTTTGAAAATTTAAATTTGATTTAAAAACTAAGTTCACTTAAAAAACACTTTCAATCTGCTTGGAAAGCTTTCAGTTAAAAAGAAAAAAAATTTGATTTACAATTTTCCCTTGCTGCAATTCACTTGATAACATTTCTTCACTAAAATGGCTTGCCTTTTAATATCATGTCATAGGCATCAAATTAAAAAGATTCAAAAGAATACTTCTTTTACATTTTTTATAGTTAGTGCCAACTGCAAACCCTTCGTCAATAGTTTTACAACATATTAAGCTATAAACAGAATATTAAGCTTTGAACAGAAAAAATCATTATAATGCCAAGTAATTGTTATCTTCTATATTTCCTAACTCAAAGAAGGAAATATAAAAATCCACTTTATTTGGATTATCACTGTATTTAACTTTTCCATAATAAAGTTCTGAAAAGTCTAGCTCTTAGCAGGATAATTGGTTAGAGTCAATAAGGGTAGATGTTCAAGAAACAATAAAATCCATCTAAAGTAATTCATATTTAATTCAATAGCCTTTCATTTTTACATTAAAAAAGGTTTTATTGGAAAAGGAATTGAGTCTCTACCACATAATTCAAATTTGTCGTATACTTCAGATATTTCAAAACATGAATTTTGTTCGATCAAATAATCTAAGTTTGTATCAAAGGTTTACACTATCAGGTTGCAAATATATTGGAATTAGACAACCTGAGTTTGTGGCTCAGACTCAATTCCTTTATATGAACTGAATATGAAAAAAATCTAGGATTTTCATTGTTTCAAATTTTTGAGCTGTTAATATTTGGATGCAATGGTACTCACCCGGTCTTCTGTTACAAGCTGAGAACGGATCTCCAATATATCCTGTCGGACAACTACAGATAGGATTGTGGTTTACCACATCACACTTAGCACTAATACCACATACACCCACACAGGGGCTCACACACCGCTGGTTTATACACGCTAGAGATTGCTGACAGTCAGAGTTGCTGACACACTCTGGTCGGCAGCTAGGAGGAGCACCGTAGTAACCAGGCTTACAGCTGCAGACAGGTCGACTTTCGGTTATACGACATTCCGAGTTTGGACCGCAGGGGGATGGAGAGCAGGGGTCAGAGGGTTCAGGAGGGTTTATAACTCCAGCTGAAAATATAATTCAATTACAATTTTACAATTTTAAGCGATCCTCCGTTAGATCTTATTGATCATTAATATGGAAGATATTGTCGTTTTCCAAGGTTTAAGATTTTAAATTCAGATTATTCCTCTTTGTCTTCCTGCAGTATAAATGCGCAAGTCAGTTTTATATCTTTACATTCTTGGTACAAAGCTTCTAAAAAGTACCGTTGTAAATCAGTTATTAACATCATTGGATAGAGATGAACACTCCCTTTAAAAATGTAGAAAAACTTACGTGTCAGAGAGCACTGCTGGAATGGATCTCCATAATATCTATCCTTGCAGACACAAACAGCATTGTGGTTTAGCACCTGACACTCAGCATTTATACCTGGAATATATATTTTTATTAGAAAATCATAATTTTAAAAGATGATTAAATTCTGGGTTTAATTATGAAAAATCAAAATGAAAACGTGATTTCATAAGTAAGATTTTTGTAACGAATAAAAACGTTGTTTAAAATAATTATTTTCATTTATTTACAGAACCGGCCAATTGATTGAAAACCATTAGTCTTAAATAAAAGTTTAATTCAATTATCAAATATAAATGTTATAATAATGTATATTTTTATCTTACCGCAGGCTCCTGGACAGGGGTCAACACATTTAGAATTTACACAAGCTTTGTCCGGAGAACAGTCATAGTTTAATAAACATTCAGGTCTACAACCAACAGTAGGGTCACCCTGATAATAGTAATAATAACAATAATAATAATAATAATAATAATAATAATAATAATAATAATAATAATAATAATAATAATAACCTGGTAGTCTCTAATACATGTGCATATTGCCCTATTTCCTTGAACTCTGCACTGAGTGTTAGTTCCACACGGAGATGGATTACAGGGGTCCTGAGATAGATAAATAGATAGATAAATAAATAGATAGATAGATAGATAGATAAATAGATAGATAGTAAGTAGGCAAGTAAGTAAATTAAGATTGAGTATATTGAAGAGATTAAATAGATTTAATGAATTGAATGGATTTAATGGAAAGGATTAGATGGATTGAAAGGATTTAATGGATTGAATAGATTGAAAGGATTGAATGAATTGAAAGCATATATAAGGAATGAATTGATTGAAAGGATTGACTGAATTGAATGGATTGAAAGGATTGAAAGGATTGCTTAGATTTACTACAGTGAACCCCTTAATAACGAATACATCGAAAGAATTCAACAAATGTCGTATTCTTCACTTTCTGATAATGGAATGTTGCAGATATTTAGCTTTTTAATTAAATGATTATATGGAACTCTTTAAAACTGTTCTCGCATATTCATAGCTATTTATACATTTTCGCAAATACTGAAATTTACGAAATATAGTATTAAACTCATTGAAAAATTGTCAAGACGACATTTGATAAATTCTTACGATGTATTCCTTATTAAGGGTTTCACTGTAGATAAAATGGATTAAATGGATTATACCTCTGGTAGGGATGGTTGAGGAGTAGGTGGTGTCTGTAAACATCTAGTAAATGGATCTCCTGAGAATCCCTGTGAGCAGGAACATATTGGATTATGATCCTCAACTCTACACACCGCAAACACCCCACAGCTGCCGGGGCAGGGATCAAGGCACTTGGATCCAATACAAGCCAGACTTGGAGCACAGGCAGAGTTATCAAGGCATTCAGCTTTACAGCCTTGCTGGGAGGTTGGGTCACCTTGGTAGCCACTCCTAGATACGGATATAGATATGTCTCAGTAATTACATATTTGTAAAGGGATTATTCATGAAAACGGGAACCGTCTCTTTAATGTAAACAAATTTACTTTTTTAATATTCCCAAAAACTTTTTTTACAAAAGACTAATAATTCATAAATAAAATAAAAACTGTTAAATAAATTTGATAGATAATAATTGTTCAATTGATTTTTACTTTTTAGATAATAAAACAATGATTGATAAATTGCTTTGATACAATTTGATTGTACAATTGATTTAATATTCAATACCTGATTAATTTTCTAAATATTAAATTGATTGATTGATTATTTACCTGCAAGAGCAGACGACCTGGCCGGCTCTATTCTCGGCACACTCCGTGTTGGGTCCACAAGGTGAAGGTGTACAGGGGTTCTGTAGAGTACATCCCTGGAACGGGTTCCCAGTATATCCGGGTTTACAAGTACAATCCTCTCCGATATCAGTTATCTAAAATAGACAAAAATAGGGTTAAATTTTTTAATTTTGAGAAATCAAAATTGAAATCTTTTCTCAGCAAATAATAATCCTGTGAGTCCTGTCCCGCATTAATAAACTAAAATAATAAAACTTGATTTTAATTATGAGTTATATAAATGCTTAGAATTGGGAGGGATAACAAAAATTCTGTAAAAAAAATTATTATTTTATTCTATCCATTTTCACGTTTCACATTTTGTACAAGAAAGAAGTGATTCAATTGGTGTACAGTTAAGTTTTGCCATCTTTAATATGTACAGTACTGCTGTAGCTACGTAATTAAAAAAAAACAGTGTTTACAGTGGTCCCCAAATAAGATTAAACTATTACCTCACACTCAGCGTTGTCACCACATGGTCCAGGTTCACAGAGAGCTAGAACTGGTTCTACTATAGGTACACAACCCTGGATAGATAGATAAATTATTGAAAATTACTGAAGATGTGAGTTTGTTCTGAATTTCTGACTAGTTTAATAACTCTAGTTTACAATAGAATCTGTCCCCAGTTCAATTACTTCTTTATAAATTGTGGCTTTGCTTTTTAAGTGTTAAAAGCTCTCCTCAAATTACGCATTCCTTTTTATAATATAGTAATAACCAGAGAACTATGGAATAGGAAGACGACACCAAAACAATCTGTAAGTGTATCTAATGCTGTTGCAAAGTAAATAGTTTTACCAGCTATTAAATAACTTATTCAGTTTACACTGCAAAATTGCTGTGTCTTATGTTTATTGGATTATTTAAAGTCATAAAAGTCGTCTTCCTACACCACAGTTTTCTAACTATCCCTGTATATCTATGTACCTGAATTGTATTAACTGCTTCTCTGTATCCTAGCTTGCATGTACACCGTTGTACGTTGTTTACAACAACACACTCCGTATTGGATCCACAAGGGTTGGGTTTGCACTGTTTAGCAGGCTTCATACAGGGAATAGCAGGCGGATTTCCTTCAAATCTAAAATTTTCCAATTTTCAACACTTTTCAAAAATTCGCATCTATTCGTCTCTAATAATAATATTGTGAGTCTTTTATTCCGTTTTAAAAATACCCTGTCAATGACATTTCAGTTTGTAAAATAACCATCTTTCAATATCTTTTTATAAAAAAATGACAATTAATGTTAAACACGTTTGCAAAATTTGCATTTTTCTTTTCCCCCTATATTTTTAAATATGCAAAAGAATTTTTCTTACAATGAATTTTTCTGCCTTAAACATGTTCGTCTAAAATTATCTTTATTTGTTCATGTTCAAATGTATTATTTATGTAATTCACTCTAATCTAAACAGAAGAAGGAGGTCAAATTTATGCGATATTAATAGTACACATTTGTGACCGCGTAACTCCTCTAGTTTCGAATTAACGTCAAAAGTATCTGAAAAGAAGGTTTATCCGGGAACACACGCAAATCTACATTACACACGCAAATCTACATTACACACGCAAATCTACATTACACACGCAAATCTACATTACACACGCAAATCTGCCCTTTTAGTAAAAATAAATTCAACCTATCATGAAGCATAACGTCTGACCGCGTCAACCTTGTTGCACCGGCTAGTCCTGTCCATAGATCTAGGCTCAGTACAAACTGGGACCGGAAAGGTTAACCCGGCTCGGAAATTTTAATACGGCTGCCCGTGTACAGATAAGAAATTCAAAACATTTTTATTCTTCTCTATAGCTCTTCAATTAGAGAAGTTACGAAGATTTGCGTGAAATATTTTCAAAGAGGAGCAAAAACGCAGAAAGGTATAAAAAAAACTCTATTTCTCCAAACCTGGGGAGACAGTAGCAAACAGGCCTATCTCCCAGCATTCTGCAGCCTGAGTTAGGTCCGCATAGGTTGCCGGTACACTTCTCTCCGTCAGGGATACAGCGGACAAATGGATTTCCGGTTTTACCACGTGGACAGGAACAGATAGGGTTTCCACGATCCACCTGGATTATTTACATATTAGAGGCGTTTACAGCTGAAGGGGCTTAAACCACCTTATTTGAGTAGGGGTATGTTTCCTAAATAAGTGGCAAAGTTTAAGTTACCCCCCCCCCCTGTCATTAAAATTTTCAAATTAAATGAGTTTTGTCAAAAACTCTAATCCTGATATCTTTGCAAACCGATGTCGTAGACCTTTGATATTTCCAACTTTGACTTCTGAACGATCAATTAGTTTAAGTTTGAAAGATCAAAGATTTACACCATCAGGTTGCACTAGTATAGGAATTAGAGAATTACAGTTTGTGGGAAAAACTTTGAATGATTTATTCCTGCTTGAAATTCTCCTTTTTTCAAATAAATTTTATAATTTGAGAGCATAAATTTGAAAATAGAAATGTACCTCGCAAAGTGCATCAGAGCCGCAGGGTGATGGAATACAGGGGTTGGAGGGAGGACGGATCACACTGCAACCAACATCAGGGTCTCCAGAGAAACCTGAACAATTAAGTTTATGCGATAATTGACAATTTTAAATGGGTTTTGTACTATTTACCCTAAAAATAAATAAATAGCCATAAATATACTCCAGTTGGCGAATTTATCTAATCTTGTTACTGGATTTCTTCCTTAACAAGGAAGACGATATTTGCTCCGCTTTGTTTACTTTTTTATTATTATTGTAATCTAAAAAGTTGTAATCTAAAAAGTTGGTCATTAATATTCTTTTAAGAAAATCAGGCAGTACTTTAAATAAAAATTGGGTTAGATTTTGCATTCTGGGACAATATTTAATGAGAAATAGATAAAACGCGCACACGAAGTTCAACCACGTTTCTTGTGCGACCGGTTCAATCTGTAGAGAGAGTGGTGGCTGAACCACTTCTGCGCGGTTCAACCATGTCTTGCTTTTCATTAAATCTGTCCCCAGATTAAGTTCTCTTTATTTAAATAAAATACCTGGTTGACAGGAGCATATTGGATTATGGTTAGCAGATCTACAATCTGAATTCTGACCACAGAATCCCGGGCAAACGGGCACACAGGATCCCTTGTTACGGTCACAGTACTCGTCATCCTTACACTCAGCGTTCTCAGAACATTCTAGGCAAATTTATTTTAAATGGAGTGTTCATTAATTGTATCATACCATTCTACAAAACGTATGCAGGAGACAATTTTACGCATAGCTAATACGCATAACTTAAATGAATTTAGAAAAGAATTATTGGTTTTGTTAGATTTTCTAATTTTGTAACTTTAGTTTTTAGGCAAGACCAACCTTTACCAAAAGTTAAACTATACAATAAAAAGGTAGAATTGGAACTATATTAAGCTCAATTCAATATCAACATGCATCGGGTTTTAATTTAATAATTTTGTTTGGGTTTGGTTGTTCAATCAAATTAAATTGACGCAACAACAAATATCTTCTTGATTCAATCAGAAAGAGTCAATTTTACCCTGGGTAAAGAGATTATATAGGACTGTAAGCGTAATGTCAAGTGACCCTCCATGCAAAAGTGACAATGCCCGATTAACAACAGTACTCTAGAAATCTTAATCTGATCAACAATGCGGAAGGTATTGATTACAAATGTTTAAGTTTGCTGTAGAAATGCGTAAGTCATATTTCTAGAGAAACCACAATTTAAAGTAATCAGTTTTAAAAATGTTTAACATTAAAATCTTATTTATACTTGATCAGACAAATCTTGTAAAGGTATCGTTGTGAATCGGGCTGTGAGGGTCACTTGGAATTACGCTTACAGTCCATTTCAGCAAAAGAATCAAATATAACAGTTAAGGTTTTTAATTTTGCTTACGTAGGTTTTAAATTGACATATCTTAGATAAAACATAATTAGATTTAATTTATCATTTCAAGAATTTGGTTCTTCTTCCTTTGTCCAAATACCTGTACATTCCCTTTTGAATTATCTTCTATTTCACGTTCTGTATTCCTGGCCCATAGTAATCTAAGCTAAGCTCTTAAAATGCGGTTAGTCAGCGTTTAGAAGCTTTTAAGCAAATGTTAGTAAATGCAAGCAATAATATTTAAATCCTGAGAAAAATTAAAAATTATGTAAAATAATAATTATTAAAAAGTTTTGTTAAAATTTTTACTAAAACAAATTAATGAAACACTCGATTTAAAGAGTTTAATTGAACTGTTGTGAATCTCTGACAGCACTTTTTAAAAGGTTAGGTTAAAATAAAATTTAAATTTAAAGAAAGCCATGCATAGTTTTTAGTTACCTGATTTTAGCGGTTAATCCTTTGACAATTAGTTTTAGATTAAATCATTATTAGTTTCAAGCTTGTTACTGATTAAATCTACTAACCTATATTCTTTTTAAGGGTTAATTACAGTATTATTAAAGTTAGATGGCATACCATGTTATACATATTATTAAAAATTATTTAATTGTTATTTATTAAAAATTACTACTATAAAATTCAAAGCAGGATAACTGTAAATATTAAATAAACTTTTTAAATTTTATCTTAAATATGCTTTGAATTTATAATAGTAAATTTTTAACTTGTTAATTAATCAAATTCAATAGACTGTGTACGTAAATTCAAGTAGCCCTGTGTCCGATTTACAACGGTGCCCTTTGTTTAAAAATGAGGAAGATATATCCATTTTTCTTACTTAAAACATGTCGATCGGACGATGGTTTAAAGGGAACCGTTCTGAATCTGACAGTAAAGAGGGATCACTAGAAATTAAGTTAACTGCAGTCCCTTTAAGAGAGGGGTTTCAAATTTTGAAAAGAGGGTTCCTTGGAGAACATTTTCTTTTTTAACGATACTACTTTTACTGCTGATCCTATATTTCTACAATGTGAACGGAAGTATTTCATGCAGGTATTGGGAATGTAGGGACCAAACTTTATGGAAAGGAATTCAAATTTGAACCGGCGGTAGGTAGATCAAATTTGAACCGGCGCGGCGGTAGATCAAATTTGGTCCCATTCCAGGTGACAGAAAACAGAATCAACACGAAAACGGAAACAATGATATTTAAAATCTTCCTGGTTTGTTCAAACCCCTTCAATATTTACCAACCCCTCTCAAAATTAAGAATAATGAGGAAAGATAAAAAAGAATCGCATTTGATCCAATTCTGTTTTTCCTCAAACTTAAATTCTAATAAAATATTGTATATTAGACTAAAAGACTAAATTCCTACCGTCTGTGCAGCCCTCATAAGGATCACATGTCTGTGCGTCTGTGTCTGGGACACATTCACAGTCACGACAGAAGGACGTGGAGGGACAGTCCCTGGAACTGGTGCACTCACATCTGGGAACTGATAAACAAATGTTTTAATAACAATCAACATCCTAATACAATGGTCGGCGTTTATATCAATATGATGATTTTCTGTTTAAGCTTTGAATTATAAAAAGAAAATACATTTTAAAGTGAGAATACTGAGTTCCGTTGATTCCTATCCATATACATAATACATATGGTTCATATAGTTTATATGATAAATATTATATACTAGCTTAGGAACCTAGCGCTGTCAAGGTTACGAAAAATAACTCCCGCCGTTTACCCGCACACGAACGATTTTACCGGGTTTCTAAATTTAGTCTAACTTAATTTAGAATCTTAAAACCAAGCTAAGAACATTCCCGTGTTCCCCAATCAAAATTTAAGGCAAAACGATGCAGGGTTCTTGAGTTATGATTGAGCAAACAAGCAGACATGACAGACAGACAAACAGAGTTTACAACTTTATATATATATAGATGTGATACATATGCTGCATATGTTATATATAACTTATATATGATGCAGATTTTTTTAGTGATATTTACATCACATGATACCTATAATACATATGGTAAAAATGATACAAATTATTACATATTGTGCAAATGATAAATATTAATTCTGAAGTCTAAAAAAAGCAAGAAAAAAAATATCTTACCGTCAATACATTGAGCTCTGTGTGTCACAACTTCACAATCCTGGTTTGGCAAACATCTAAAAAAGATTTTTCATTATTTAAAAAAAAATCATGTCAACATAATTATGAATATTCCTTCTGTAAAGAAAACAACGGCAATGTACAACAAGTATCCAGGGGCGGATACAGGGGGGCGGGGGACATTCGCCCCCCTGAATTTGGAATTTTTGTTCCTATTTTCAGAATAGCTTCTCAATATCATGCTTAAGGGAAAGAAACCCTAGTGCAAAACAGGAAAAATATCTGTCTTAATAAACTATAATGTGTAAAAAGTTAAAAATCTAGTTTTTTAGTCTTAAGTCATTAATTTTGACTCTTTTTGAGACTTTTAAGTAAAACAAAAAAAAAATTTTATTTAGAAATTGATAACACGATGAAATTTATGACATTGTTGGGTTTAGTTTTGAAACGATTATTAAAACGTTTTAAATGTTGAGACACTCCATTTAAGTAAGAAAATTTTTTAGATGTGAACATGTGAAAATTAATTATGAATCCAGTTAGTCGGTTCAAGCCCTTTAGATTTAATTTTGTCCCGAGCTTTAGCGAGGGACAAAATATAATCTAAAAAGGCGAGAACCTTCGAGATATAGAGGAAATTTAAGTCAAAAAACTATAGCACGTCGTACCAAAATAATTGTGTTATAGGTATTTTTTTTTTAACGTTTGTGTACTTTTCTTATTTTAATGGCTATTTCTATAGATCAAATAAGCTATGAAACAAAACAGACGTAACAAAATAAAGTTGATTTTAATTTAATTTAATTAAAATTGAAAAAAAAATTCTTTGGAAATATTCTAAATTTTTTAGAGAAAATCCAGGAACAAATCAAAACTGTATTGCACACGTTCTATAATGTACAGCTAATTTAACATTATAGCACGATGATTACTTTATATTACGTTTATTATGAAATTCACGATGAAGTGAGTAAGAATGATAAAGTAAACAATAGTTTCATAAAAAATGAAAACAAAATTTTTTTTTAAAAATCTAATCTAGGTTAAAAAAATATTGCAGAAAAAAAAAATTTGCAAATTATTTTTCAATTTACGGACAAAAGATTTACTTACTTTCCCACTGTACAAGGATTTGCACATTTGCTGTTTGTGCAGGCCTGCTTTGATGGGCATTCACTGTTGCTTCTACATCCAACTCCTAATTAAACATGAGAAAAGTGTTAATATTAGAAAAATAATATTATAAAGAAATTGTAAACTTTAACTAAATAACGCGCCTTCCAAGTTTTACAAAATTTCATTTTTCCACATTGCGAATTTTTTCGAAAGAGACTCGTAGATTTTTAACCCGCGCGCTTAAAGAAAGTTGAATTAGACCTGTTTGTTAATACAACATTTTTATGATTCATTGTTGATTCTTTTCAATCTAAACTAAAATGTGTACAGGCAAGAATACAAATACAGGCAAGGTTTTTATATAAATTTATATATAAATATATATATAGTGTATATTTATTGTATTTAGTGTAGTATTAATGCCTGCATTTTTAAATTCTATTTCTATTTAGACTAATTAGTATTTTTCTTCTAAAATGCATAATTTGTTAGAAATGAGTGTTACTTTATATCTAGTTATTTTTGATAAAAATGCTCTAAAACTTGTAATCTAAACTTTTTTGATGATTAGTGTTTTAAACAAGAGTAAGTTTTTAAATTGCATTTGAACTGAACATTTTACATATTCATACTTTGTTCGTTAGTTTCTTCAAAGGTTAGATTATAATTATAAATTATTTTTAAAATTAATGTTATTGATGCAGGATAATAGCTAGAATTTCATTTCTCTCTGCGCCTTTAGTCCTTAAGATTAGTTATTAAAGGTTAGTTTTTATATTTACAAAAAGCAATGTTAGATGCCAGCTAATTCCACAAGAACAGTCTAAACATAGGTTAGTTTTTATATTTAGAGAAAGCAATGTTAGATGCCAGCTAATTCCACAAGAACAGTCTAAACATAGGTTAGTTTTTAACATTGGTTATTTTGTGGCATTAATTGAACCTATGACTCTAGAAGTCAAGATGTATGTCAGCTAAAATTTATGATTTGTGAGTTCGTGAATTTAAACATGGTTATTAGAATATGTTCTGCTACCCTACCAAGCCACAGCATACCAAATTAGTAGCTGCATGCTCATACATAATCCATGCCTCTCTACCTTTGATACATCCATAGTTGGCATCTATGATAAAACCCTCAGGACAGAATTTACATACTGCTTTGTGGTTCTCCACTTCGCAGGGGGTGTTATCTGGACAGGTTATATCATCGCAGGGGTTCTTGCATTGGAAGTTGACGCAGGCCTGATGAGGAGGGCAGCCTCGATCTTTTAGACAGATAGAGACAGAGGGATTACATCCTTCGATACACACACAGGTCGCCTTGTGATTCAACACCTGGCAGTCTTTCCCTGAAGGACATATACGCTGGTTGTCACACGGGTTCTTGCACCGTCCCTGGTCGCAGGCTTGGTTGGATGGGCAATCGTTGTCTTGTCGGCATTCAACTTGACGGTCAGGACATGTGAGGGCTCCTTCTTGGTTGATCACTAGACTGTACTTGCATTGGCATTGGGGCTTGTGGTTGGTGACAATGCATTGCTTATTGAGGTCGCAGGACTTGCTGGAACAGGGATTTAGACATTGTCCGGTTGACTTGACACAGGCTGTGCTATCAGAACAATCAGTATCATCTTGACAGTCCTCCCTCTCTGCTACCTGGGGTCTGGTCGGAACATTATCACAATCATTTGAAGGTCTGCACCTCACATGAGGACGACCAACATAGCATTGAGGACATTCACACCTAGGTTTGTGAAGAACGACAGAGCAGAGAGCGTTTTCTCCGCATGCAGCCCGGAGACTACAGGGGTCAATACATTTACCAGATGCACAGGATAGATCGGCAGAGCAATCAGAGTCAGATGAACACTGTCCAACTATACACAGAAACCAGTCATTTTTAAAATTAATTGACACCTAAAATCTGTGAAATAAGAAGCCAACTTGTTTGCTTAAACTGAACTTGTAAAGCTATTTACATAATAACAGCATATACACATAGAATTGCTTTAATATTTTCTTCTTAGTTCACAGTTTTTTGAGTCTTACTGAGAAACAAACTTTAAAAAGTTACTTAAATAATATTTCAACAAAATAAATAAAACAACAATACTACCTTTGTCCTTGTTGCATTCCACCAAAGGATCTCCATTCGGGGCAGATTCCGGGCAGATACAGACAGCCTAGAATGCAAGCTTATTAGTAAAGATCTGAGTTATTATTTGCGACTTTTATTTGGGATGTTTATAGGTAATCGCAAATTGAGAAAATAGAAATTTGGGATTTTTCTAATTTGGACTTATGTAACATCTGAAACTGTTACCTGATTCAACTGTACCCTGCACTCTGCTCCAAGTCCACAGACAGCACCAGAACAAGGGTCAACTAGGGGACCTCCGCATAGACATCCTGTAAAGGGGTCACCAGTGCATCCTGTCTTACACCTGCAGTCATATCCACCAACAAGAGACTGGCAGATAGAATTGGCACCGCAGGGATTTGACAAACAGTGGTTCTTGTCCTTGGCGCATTCAATATTAGGATTTCCAATGAAGCCATTGGGACAGGAACAGTCTTTCGCATGGCGTATGGTTTTGCATTGGGCATTAACTCCACAGGCGTTGGGTAGAGCGCAAGGGTTAATACAAGAGCCCTCCTTACATTGCTTGTTAGATTCACAGTCGCCATCTTGTGTACACTCAACGCGCTTACACTCGATTGCGGGATTTCCCTGTAGGCCCTGTGGGCAGATACAGACAGCTCTGTGGTTAGAGACGCGACATTCAGCCGAAGCTGCGCATCCACTTGATGGACTAGTACAGGGGTCAGAGCATTGACCGCCAAGGCAGTGAGAGTCTTGACCGCAGTCAGCGTTGGTTTGACATCCGGGAACACAGACAGCACCACGGCAAAGATGACCCTAAAGAATTTAAATTTCAAAATATTTTTAATTTCCTCGTTGTAATATTCACAATTTCAAAATTAAAATGAGTTAATTCAAAATTGAGTTTCGTTTTTTGTTTAAAAAAAATAATTCAACCCCCTTCCCCCGGATAATCTTGTTTAACAGCCCCCAACCCACGAATACGTCTCTGAAGATGTCTAATATAGAAGACAAGAATGATTGTATAAGAGACAAGATTACTGATACAAGAGGCAAGATTACTGATATAAGAGGCAAGATTACTGATATAAGAGACAAGATTACTGATACAAGAGACAAGATTAATGATATAAAAGACAAGAATGATGGTATAAGAGACAAGGTTACTGATATAAGAGGCAAGATTACTGATATAATTAAGGCAAGATTACTGATATAAGAGACAAGATTACTTAAAAAAGAGACAAGACTACTGATACAAGAGACAAGATTACTTAAAATAAGCCACAAGATTAATAATTTACCTGAGTACATGATACGCCTGCAGTACACTCCTGTCTGCAAATTCCTTCTGTACACTGTTCTCCACATCTACAGTTAGCGTTGCTACTACAGCTGGTTGTACACACACCACTCTAAAATATCAAAAACTTTAAAATCTAATAATCTAAACTTTCATTTCAGTTCGGATAGAACTTTATGAAATGAAAGTTTAACTTGTGTCTTTGGTTCTATTTACTAACTTCATTGCTTGACACAAAACTGTTACTTCTCATTGCACCTTGGGTCTCACCAGAAGAGAATTTTTTACTTTCTTTATTCTGTTTGTATGCTTTCAAAATTGCTTAATTGCCCAGCGCGCTTGTATGCTATGAAAGAAGTTTACAGTGAGTTGTACCATGCTTAAAATAAAAAAGGTACCTGGCAATCTGACCCTGGTGGGCAAGGAAAAAGTGGACTGCAGAGCCTAAGCTGACCGGAGCATGCCTGGGTCGGGTTTCCAACCATGTTGTCTGGGCAGGTACAAACCGGTTTATGGTTAGAGACAGTACAGTCGGCACAGGACCCACATCTACGCGAGGCACACGCATCTAAATATAAAATTTGCACTATAGGGACTGTAAGCGTACTTCTAAGTAACCCTTAAATGTTAAACAAACATAGCTTTTAATGGTACCATTGTGAATCGGGCATTGTCATCTTTGAATGGAGGGGTCACTTAAAATAACGCTTAAAGTCTCCTTAAAGAAATCAAATTGAAATTTTAACATTTGAATTTAGATTTTACTGAAAATTATTATCAGTAACAGATTGTAAAATGTATAATTTGCATAATATCACTTTTAGAAATCGTTATAAACTAGAATAACGAATAACATCGTTATAAACTAGAATAACGAATGACATCGTTATAAATTATAATAACGAATAACATCAGTTACAAATAAACGTGTAAATTCATCATCGATGTAAAATTACTAAAACTGGTAAAATTTCGAAACTGAACAAAGTCAAGAAAGTATGGTATAAAAAGACCTAAATGTCAAGAGGTTTATAAAAAAAATAGTAAATTTTGCAAAAACTTTCTTTTTTTTAGAATCTGCTTGAACTATACCTTGACATTGGTTCTGTATACAGGCTTCAGTTGATCCACAATCATTATCAGAAGTGCAACCTTGAAACAAAATATTATTTTTCTTATAATTGCTTTTGGCAAAAAAAGAAAAACTTAATTGTTTTTATTTATGTGAAAATTCTGAACTTGTTATTTTCTAAATCAAAATTGCTAAACTTTTTTCAATCATTTGCATAAAACAAAAGCAAAATAAGTGCATAAAAATTTTCTAAACAAAGTCTCATACTATTTTATAAAAGTTTTTCTTTTGGTTTACAAGAAAATTAATAACAAACCTGCTACGCAGAATCTATCTTTGCAGACTTGATCTGTTCCACATTCTGAGTTAGAGTTACAAACTATTCTACAGCTGCCACTCACGCACACCTAGAGTTGGTAATCGTGTTAAATCGTATTAATAAATTCATAACAGTATTATGTTAAAGTTTGCTTTAAATAAGCTTTGAAAATCTTATGGAAAACCGATATGAAAACGTTCGTTTTAGGATAGTTTTGGGTAGTTTTTTGCATTAATCTTCTACCAGGGTTAAAATTTAAAATAGTGTAATTAAAGCATATGTTTAGAATACAAAATTATAACACAGTTGCTTCGCTTTTACTATTTCAAATTTTGACTCTGAAAGAATGTATCGGCAAAAAAAACAATCCAAAAAAGGAATTGCTGACTAAATTTTAAATTATTGGTATGAAACATAAGCTCATTTGTCTTGTTAAAAACAAGTAAGTTTTATCTTCTTCTATTCCATTTTATAATGAGGTCCATTGTTCAGTATACATTGTACATAAATAAAAACTTACTTCGTTAAGTAGACAGCTTGAACTGCTGTCCTCACAGGTAGAAGCACACAACCCATCCACACAAGTTGATCCAGCGGCGCAGTCAGAGCTGGCAGAGCATTTGACAATAGGCTGAGTACATGACTTGGTGGGGTCACCACTTAAGCCTAGAGGACATTTACAGACTGGTAGGTGGTTTTCAACACTACAGAGGGCGTTAGTTCCACAGGCAATGTTGGATGAGCATGGGTCGCTGCACTGATTATCCATACAGGCTTGGTTAGCCCCGCAGGTCTGTGCCGAACGACATCCAAGCACGCAGGTCACGCCTTGGCATATCTCTTCGCTGTTACAGTCATCGTCATGTCTGAATAAAGGTTGATTAGTTCGTTGTAAAACTGCGCATTTGTTAAAATTCAAAGTAAATATAAAAATCATGATTCTTTAACCCTATTCCTGCTGGGCGGGTCAATTTGACCCCCCCCCCACCCAGCATATCCTGGTTTTCAAGTACCCCAGCAGGGATAGGGTTAAATAATCTATGTGCAGTTCAACCCCCCTGGGGTTGCAATACTACACAAAGTAATTAAAATCTAAAGCGGAACAATTTTCCCAGACTCCAGTTGAAGCAAAAATATTGCGGCTCATCCTGTTTTTAGACTGAAGATGATATTATGTCATGGCTGAACCACGATGATAGTGGAACATTAACCAGCCATAAAATAGAAATAGTGTTGTTTGTTTTTGTTTCATTATTAACTTGGTACCAACTTAGTTTTAAACTGTCTGGAACGCTTTTTTGGCCATGTGCTTTAGATAAGAGGTAATCTTGGATAACTATCTCAGTTAGCGGCAAGCATAATCTTGGTCAACTAGTGCGTTGGCAATAATACTCTATGAGAACTAGCGCTCAGGGTAGAAAAAATAATCTTTGAGCAATGGTGCTAAGGAAATTAAGACAATTAATGTTCGATCGAGGATTAAATCTGCCGCTAACATTAAATGTGTGGACCAAATAGATTCTAGTACAATAGATGGCAACGTAGAATTTGTACACTCTCAGTACAGCTGTTTTCTGACGTCACAATTGTCAATTCAGTTTTTGTGTCCAACAAAATTATTCAAAATAGTGATAATTTTAGAATAAAGTTCTTATCTTGCAGTAAAATAAGTGCAATGAAATGTATACTTTATTTTCTGTTTTTAAATTTTTTATCTAATCTTGAAAAACATGTCAACTAATGTGAGAAAATTTCGTTTTTCTTGTTAAAATTGACGTCGTGTATTATTGGTTCATTTCTCATGTTGCCACCTATTGTAATTGATAATCTATTTGGGTGGACTAGTGTGTGACTAATCACTGCGTCTCGGAAAATCATTCAAACATTGCACTACGGTTTGGATCATCTCAAAGGCTGGCAACTGTCATAATCTTGGAGCGCTGTGTACAATGAATTACCTGCAGAGGGGTTTACAGACTCCATTATCGCAGACCTCATTGACCAAACAGGTTTTGTCGTTGAAACAAACATTCTTACAGAACTTACCATCACAGACCTGCACACATTAGAGGGTTAGATTATACATACAATAAAATGTCTAAAAAGTATACGCATGAAAAAGAATATTGATTTTTGATACTAAATAAAAATTTTTAAATTAATTTATATTTTCTTATTAATTTCTATTTAGTGAAAATTTTCATGGAAAAAACATGAGAAGATGGTATAATGGCCAACCAATCTAAATTTTATTGGCGTCTTACTAAAATAAAAACCCAAGTGGTGCCATATGGCCGGTCACGCGCTTACCTGTCTCTCAGGGCACTGTGCGTTAGATGAACAAGAAACTGGTTGTTTCACACATCCAACTACAGGGGTAGGGTTGGGAATATATGCTGGGGGGCAGGAGCATTGGGCTCGATGGTTCACAATACCTGGCAGTTTGCATTAGGTCCACAAGCGTCTACTGTGCATGGATCCACACACCTATAGTATACAATAGTTTTGTAGAAACCATGTTTTAAATGAAACAAAAATCAAAGAAGTTGTCAAATTTACAGATTTCTCTCCTTTTGTTATAATTCAAAGTATTAGATTATCGATCTTGAACCTTACCTTACCTTTGCAGCAATTGTGCAAACCATTCATATTATGCTTTACTTTGGCACCCTCACATTTGGTCATTCATTGTGACACCATTTTTGCTTTATATTCTAATATTAAATATCGAATACTAAATTTTGCTTTAAATAATTTCAATCAAGAGCCATTTATAATTTACAACTGTCCTCCTTAAACTTTCAATTTCATTTTTTCTCAAACTGAAACAAGGCAAATTTTGGTAATTTGCTTGCTAATTTTTTTCAATTTTCCTAGAAAAACCATTGGCATCACTTTTTAACTTAAAGGGAGTGTTCGCGAAAAATGAAAGGGGGTATAGGCTTAATGCGATAAAAAAGCGCTTTTGATCGCTACTAACCTTACTTCTATCTGTTGCGTCTATAAGGAGAAACATGTTAAAGACGTCTCGTACCGAATAACTTAGCGCCCAAACAAATTCAGAAAATTGCAACATACGAATTAGACCGTAAAAAATCCATTTAATTTCAAACAAATCATTCAGATATTACAACCTATAGTCATCGATTATCCTTCGCCACATTTGTATATAGTTTATATTTCATAATATTTTATTTTTTTAGAAAACGTTTTAACTGATTTCGAAAAATGTGAGTGATCTGCGGCATTCTTAGATAGTTGCGCAAGCCGCAAGAGAAATAATCAAATTCAAAACAAATTAATTAAAAAATATTATAAAATATAAACTACATACAAATGTGGCGAAAGATAATCGATGACTATAGGTTGAAGGTTGTAATATCTGAATGATTTGTTTGAAATTAAATTAGATTAGTAGCAATCAAAAGCGCTTTTTTATCGCATTAAGCCTATACCCCCTTTCATTTTTTCGCGAGCACTCCCTTTAAGTTTTAAAAATAGCGATATCCATTCGATTATGGCTCTATGGAAAAGATTTAAAGAGTATTATTTTGAATTAAGCTAATAAACCACACTCTAAAATATTTATAATCCGAGCCGGTACAAGATGTATTGTCCAGTGTCCGTGTAGAGTCAACCCAGCACGTTTTATGCAACAAATTAGCCTGACAAGATCACAGTAATCAGTCCCTTTAATAATGGCACCCTACCTGTTGTTTATACAAGTGTTAGACTCTGGACAGTCAGTATTAGCTCTGCAACCGACAACGCACATCTTGTTCAAACAAACGTGACCCAAGAAACAGTCATTGTCAACACGACATGTCACTAAAATACAAAATTCAAAATTAAACCATCTTATTTTTTTCTGATAAAATATATGGTTGAGGAACCCCTGAACAACAAACATGTAAAACTGCAATGTGTGGAATTTTAACAGTACTGTACAAGGCGATCACAAGATGAGCTTAGTCTTTTTCAGATAAGGCTATTTGAACTTAAAATATTGTATACACCACAAGTTTTGCAAGCTTTTGATATCTTTTCCGCCCTCCGAAAGAAAAAATATTTAAATTACAGTTTATTGTAAATTGCTGTTTTAGACCTATTCTTAATTGATCTAAGTATAAGTAAAAGATACTTACGCATACAGAGTCCTTGAAGGCACCTCTCATTCAATGCACAGTTATCATCAGTCTAACCAAAGACGACAATTGAAGAAAAAAATCAAACAAATGCAATTTGGCTGTGTTGTGATAAAACCATATGAAACTATAATAAAAAATCAAAATTAAATATTGTCGTTCATCCCTGGCATGACGGCATGCAGATACCCTCTGTGCATGCCATGGTTTCAGGGCAGTCTGTGTTTGCATAACATGTGGACGGGATGCGAACACATTCCACAGCAGGGTTTCCTAAATAGTATGAAATAATAAAATATATCTTTATAATTCAGTTCAGGGTTTTTTTGGTTGTTATGTTTACCTGTAAAATCTGGCGGGCAAGAACAGACCTTGTTGTGGTTTGTGACCGCACACTGGGCATTCAGACCACATGTTCTAAACAGAAAGAATTTGTGGTCATGGTAATATTTTGGTCTTTTAAATAGGCCTGGTCATTGAATGGTCACGGTCATTGAATTGGCAATAATTACAGAAGTTTACATGGTCATGGAAATGATTATGGTAATGGATATGTTTAAAGTCATGGAATAGTTATGGAATTGGTCAAGAAAAATTCTTGAAAATCATAGGCATAAAAATGGACATTGTAATTAAAATTGTCCATTTATTGGTCATGGTCATCAACATCTATGATATTTATTATGTACTTGACAAACCTTTTGTCTGTGCAGGGATCATTACAGTCTCCCCTTTCACAGACCTCGTTAGATGCACAGCCGCTGTTAGAAGTACAAGATCCTAAAAATTTAAAAATCAAACTGGATTAATGATGACAGGCAAACAATATTTTGTAGTTCAGGAACCAGACATGGTTAGACTGTGTAAAATATTGTGAACCATTTCTTTTCAGCTTGACCCTGTGCACAAGTTGTTCAACTCTATCTAAGGGGTTAGTTCGACTTGTTTGCTCTTCATCAAATCTGGTCAAAGGAGAATGAAAGTACGTAAATTTTGTTCAGTAAAATGTGTATAATTGAAATTTGTTGTTTATTTTTGCAGATCTCTAAGTAAGAAAATAAACATGACATTAGACATTTTGTTCAAAACTAGGGATAGTATTTTAATCTCAATTTGAGAGTAATTTAAAGAATATTGTTTGTGTTTATTTTGTTTGTTGGTTACGGTGTGTTCATTTGTTCAAGTTCAGGTGAATTAAACAAAAATTTAAATGGTTGAAATTACGTTTAAACTGTCCTAATAATGTAATCATATACCAGCTATTACGGACTTTAGGAAATAAAACATTCTTGTGCAGTGCCCATGACAAAAATGCACAATTTAGCAAAATACAAATTTTGTAAATTGTACTTTTCGGTATTCATTAGATAATTCATAAAAAAATATGGATACATTTAGACACTTTAATTGTTCTCAGCCAGTTGCAATTGGAAACTTTTTTATTGTAGACAGAGTAAAATTTTAAACCTTAAATATCATGTTACTAAATGTAAAGTAAGTTTTGTTAAACAGGTAATTAAAAATCTTGCCTGAAACAGAGGGTTGAATGCATAGGTTCTTAGAGCAGACAGTATCCCCTCTACAGTCACCATTTTTGCTACATTGTATTCTCTGACAACCAACCTTCTCATCATTTGGATTTCCAAAAAATCCATCCGGACAAGTACAAACCGCCTTGTGGGACTTGGAGGTGCAGATAGCATTCCTGCCACAAATGACTGGGCCGCTGCACACATCTTCACATTCAAATAGACCATTGTCACGTCCTATGCATGTGTCTTGCTCCCCACAGTCAACATCTGTGGAGCATCTTGACTCCTGAACACAGAATCCATTCTGGCAGCTGTGGAGCAGGGGGCATTGAGATGAATCTTGACATTTGGAGGCGCAGGTTCCTCCAACACAGATTTGGTTGTCAAGGCACTCTCGTGATGATTTACAAGGAGGAGAGCAAATACCAAAACTACAAAGCATTCCAGAGGGACACTGTTCTTCTGCTGTACACAACTGGAGTTGAGTGCAACCCAGGGTTGGATCTCCAGTGAAACCTGGCTTACAGAAACATCGTGACACATGATTTGTGGCTTTACATTCAGTGTTCTGTCCACATACATTGGGAAGGCTGCAAACATCCACACACTTGTTCCTAACACAAGTCCTTTCAGAGGTACAGTCAGAGTTGCTAACACATTCCAATGGGGTACATCTCACATTGGGATTGCCCTTTGTTCTAGCAGGACATGAACACATTGGATTATGATTGACCGGAGTACAGATCGCATCAGCACCACAAGATCCTGGAATCTCACAAGGATTTTGGCACTTGCCATTGTTACATGTGGCAGTTGATGGGCATTCATTATCACTTAGGCACTGGTCTGACGGTTGGCATTTTCCATTAAGGTCAGCCACTGTTCCTGGCGGACATCTACATTGGTAAGCTCCAACTGTGTTTGTGCATAGGGCTGTTGGTTCACAAGGATTATTCTGACATTCATCAATATCAACGCATTGGTTTACAGAAAAGATAAACCCAGGCTCACATCTACACTCAGGTGTATGATTGACAGCAGAACATGTTCCTTTGCCACAGTTCACAAGTGTGCATGCATCAATACAACGGTTATTAGCAACCTGGCACACTTTGTCTTCACTACAATCATTATTTGATTCACACTCAACCTTTGTGCATCCCAATGGAGAGCTTGGATTGCCAACATGTTTATCAAAGCATCTACAGAATGGTGTGTGATCTTGAACCTCACAGTTAGAGTTTGGACCACACTGTGATCTCTCACAGGGATTTATACATTTTCTGAATCCACTTTCATCTAACATACAAGCAAGAGTAGGCTTACAGTCATTGTTGGTTGTGCACTCATTTGGCCTAGTACATCCTTTTACAAAAGGATCTCCTACCAGACCTGGAGGGCATATACACTTAAATGAGCCAGGAACATTAGAGCAAGTTGCAGATGGATGACAAATTGAATTTTCACACTCATTGATATCTTGACACCCTGCTGGGGTACTGATGAATCCAACATCACAGATACAGTTTCCATTTTGACATACTTCTCCCGGTCTACAGTCCTCTTCCTTGTTACAACCTGGTTGGCAGGTGCTGTCTATGCAGATTTCTCCTTGAAGACAATTTCTGTCAGAGTGGCACACTTTCACACAAACACCATTTTGGCATTTTTCCCCACGGGCACAGTTTGAATTAATCTTGCATTGAAAGTGACACATACCTCCTTGACACAAGTGTTCTGGTTGACATGTTCCACTTGGGCACCTAGATGGAATCCTAACACAGCCCTGCTGAGGAGTTGGTACTCCTGCAAATCCCACTGGACAGGAACATTCAACATTCTTCCCAGAAACTCTGCACTCAGCATTTGGCCCGCAAGCTCCTTCCTTGTTGCATGGATTTATACACTGGAAGTTTATGCACACCTCAGATGCAGGACAGTTTTCATTGGATCTGCATCCAATCTGACATATACCAGATGAACAAACTTGGTTACTGGGGCACTGTTGACTTGAAATACAAGAAATCATGCACATGCTGTCAGTACACTGTTCACCTATCAGACAATCACTGGGACTTCTGCAGGCAAACCTACACTGTCCATTTTGACAGGTAGAACCAGAACAGTCTGTGTCTGTTTTACATCCTTGGCTGTCTCTTATACAGGTCCGAGAATCTAGGGGACTTGGAATAAATCCTTTTAGGCATTGACACTGTGCTTGTCTGTTGACTATGCTGCATTCAGTATTTGGTCCACAGGAGTCATAACAAATATTTTTACACTTGCTATCAACACAAATACTTTTTCCAGGACAGTCTTTATCCCCATTTGGACAACTTCCCTCTGGAAAGCATCCAGTATTATAGGGATCTCCTACTTGTCCTTGGTGACAGGAACAGGTGTAACCTATAGCACTGGTGATACATATAGCAGACTGATGACAGGGGCGAGTAGAACAATTATCCAGGACAGAACACTTTACTTCAGCCAAGGGATCGGGTTTTGTTCCAGGGGGACAGGAACATTTTGGTTTTTGCTGTTCAGGTAGGCATACAGCATTTAGGCCACATGTGTCTGATGTGCAAACATCCATACAGGTGTAGGAAAGCCTGTCACAAAACTTGGTGGGTGGACAGTCAGCATTGCCTAGACAACTAACCGCCCTACAACCATTTATCAAATCATTTGGGTCTCCTGTAAATTTTCCAGGCGGACAAGTACATTTGGGCACATGATTCTGGGTAATACATACAGCTTGGGGTCCACAGTTAATTTTATTGCATGCAGGTATGCACTTTCTTGTGGCAAGGCTACAAACCTCCTCCTCTGAACACTGAGCATCTGAAACGCATTGATCTCGTGATATCAAGGAACATCCAGTTCTGTCATTAGGATTTCCTGTAAACCCATTCAAACATTGGCAAAATCCTTGATGATTTGTGGCTCTACACAGAGAATTGGGAGGGCAGTTGAACAGCTGACATACAGCAGTACAGCGGAGAACTCCAAGAGAATCTGCTTGGCATACTTGGTCAGGTCCACATTGATTACTGTCAGTACAGGATGGTACTGATGCAAGTTCACACAATCCTGTCAAAGGATTTCTCACATGAGTTGAAGAACAATGGCAGTTGGGTTTGTTGTCCTTTACAGAGCATATTTCAAAATTTCCACAAGACATGATCTTACAGGGATTGACACATGAGCGCTTACCACTTATATTGATGCTGCAAACATGTTCTGGTGGGCAGTCCTCTTGTTTCTTACATGTGACTTCCTTTGAGCATCCTTCTCTTGGGATAAGTGGATTTCCAGCAAACCCTTCTGAACAGATACAAGTGCTGTGGTGGTTGTCTGTAACACATCTAGAGTTAGGTCCACACTGTATATTACTGCAAGCATCAATACATCTGTAGGATCCTTTCACTGACTGACAAATTTCATTGTAACCACAATCAAGATTGTTGCTACAGGTGGATGATTTGCAACCATTAACTAAATCCTCTGCATCTCCTTTAAAGCCAGGTTGACACAGGCACTGTCCAGCAGCACAAACAGCATTGGGTCCACATTGAACTGAATCACAAAGGTCTCCTACCAGGGGTTCCTCAGGGAAACAAGCCTCAAATGGATTTCCTCTGAATTCTGTTTGGCACCTGCAGTCATAGCTTCCAATTGTGTTGATGCAAACAGCATTCTTTCCACAAATATTGTCTGAACATTCATTTATATCATTACATCCAACAAAGGGATTTCCAGAGAATCCAATTTTACAAGAACATTCTTGATCGCCATTTTCTTTTAGACATTCAGCATTCTCTCCACATTTGCAAACCTTGGTATCAAGAGGAGTAGAGCACCCCTGGTAAGGGTTTCCAGTATATCCCTCATTACAAACACACTGGTTTGGAACACTGTAAATACAATGACTATTTGCTCCACATCCTGGGGCACAGATGGGAGGAAGAATTGGTGGCATGCAAAGGAAATTTCCATCTCCAACAAATCCCTCTTGACAGAAGCATTTATTAGTATCAGCATCACAAGCAGCATTTATTCCACATGACGATTGGTCACATCTTTCCCTACACTTTCCAGAAACACAAGATAAGGGTTGAGGACATGGGTTGGCAGCTGAACAAATTTCAGGGACACAGCTTCCTCCGGGAAACGGATTTCCAATTGTTCCTTGAGAACAGGCACATGTTGGACCCTGTGGTGAAATTATGCATTGTGCATTGATTCCACATATAACATTTTCACACATGGATGTACATTTTCCTTTTTGGTTCTCTTCATATCCTGCCTTACATCTGCACCAAGCTGCATGATCTTCTGGAATACAAACTGCATTCTCTCCGCATGGTAGAGAAGAACAGGGGTTTATGCAAACTGAAGCTTGACAAGCAAGCTGTCCAGGGCAATCTTTGTCACTCTGGCATTCAGATTTTGCTGGTGTTCCTTTGCATCCTTGAAGGTATGGATCTCCTTTGGTTCCTTTGGGGCATTGACATTTATAGCTTCCGGGTTCATTTAAACATCTTGCATCAGGACCACAGACATTTCCAGCACATTCATCTACATCCTGACATCCAGTTAATGGGTTTCCAGAATATCCAGTCTTACATAGGCACTGGGGTGGATTTGTGGGAGAGCATTCAGCATTTATACCACACTGAAATCTTTCACAGGGACTCTTACACTTTCCACCATCTGTAGTGTCAGAAAAGTATGGAGGTGGACAGATACACTGCCCTGGTTCAACACACTTCTCATTTGGTCGACAGTCCCTATCTCTAGAGCATTGTGCCTGGTTAGCTGAACACAATCCAGAGTATGGATCTCCAGTAGTTCCTCTTGGACAAACACAGCTGAATGATCCAACCTTATTTTCACACAACGCTCCAAATCCACAGGGTCTTGATGTGGCCTGACATTCATCAATATCAACACAGGAACCATCAGGATGAACATTGAAACCAGCAGGACAGGCACAATAACTGACCCCTCCTGCTATGCTTATGCATTCAGCTCCCTCAGAGCAGTCTCCCTTATTCTTACATCCAGCAAGCACACAGTTTTCTCCAACCTGCGAATAAGGAGCCTGGCATCCGCAATCAGGTCCATTGCATCGATCACAAGACTGAAATGGATTTCCATTATATCCAGGGGGACACTCACAGTCATAACTTCCTGGTAGATTCTTACAGAATCCATTCAATCCACAGACAGGCTTCTCAGAGGTGGCAAGAGCACATTCATTGATATCTCTACAGAGACCAGAGGACTCTCTTTGAAAGCCCCTCTGACAAACACATTTTCCTTGGGAGCATAATTCCCCCTGGGGACATGGTTTGGAGTCAGAGCACTGAACTGCTTCAATTTCTCCTTGACATATAACATTGGGATCTCCATTTTGTCCCTTGGGACAAGAACATCTATAATTGCCCTGAGTGTTCTCACAAAATGCACCCTTTCCACATGGGTTTCCTAGACACTCATTGATGTCAATGCATCCAGGTTTCCCTTGACCGGCAGGCTGGTAACCTTGATGACACATACACCTTGGTTCTCCATTCACCAAAGTACACTGGGAGTTGGCAGCACAGAACACATTTGTACACGGACCTAAAAAGAATTTAAGTTTAACACTAAACACTAATAAAGTTAATAGAAATATTATTATTGGTAAACTTTCTGTTAAAATCAATTGGTATTCTAAAATTTAAAAATAATACAATTGAATGACACAATTTGTTGCCGACAAGAAAAAAAAAGTTTAAAAAAGTAAGATTTAGCTATAACTATAAAAGTTCAGATTCATTCTTTAAATGAGAAATATGATTGAGGTGTATACTGTATATGTTTGTTTATCCTTTTTCAATGTTAAAACAATTATTTTGGTTGTTTTTTCCATAATGCAGTTGTTATGAAAACCAAGAAACCAGCAAATCAATAATATTTAGTGCTTTTTATCTGTGCCCTTTCTCTCTGGTAAACTTTTTTTTCAAGTTTTAGAAATTCAATGAAGATGTGGCTTTCATATTTTACTCTAGAACCCCCCCCCC